GGTGGGTGTGCTGCTTTAGAAATGGGGGCGCACCCAGTGAAAGCCGTCCTTTACGGGTGGCTTCCTGGCTCTCTGCTTCCCTTCGGTAGTTCTGCATAAAACCAGCTTTTCAAAGCAAACGGTACTGTAGCATTATGGCATTATGGGATTATGATATTATGGGATTATGGAATTATGGTACTATAGTATTATCCATTATGTATGGATACAAACCACAGCTGAGAGTCGGGTTGCTGTGCCGGCCGCTCGACGAGGAGCAAGGATCTCCATGAAACAACCCGGAGACTCCAATGTCCCTGTAAAGGGGTCTATAAGGGTTCTATAAGGGATCTATGGAATCTATAGGGTTTAGGGGACTCCAATATCCCCCAATTAAATAATATACGTTACATTATAATAAGATCCCCAATATGATTTAAGGTATATTCCTTAATTAAGGGATATTGGAGTCTCTGGGAACCCGCCCCGAGCACCCTGGTTTTTGGAGAGCCGTGAGCCCAAAATTCTGTTTTTGTTGCAATTTTTTGCAGAACCGAAGCTCGGGGTTCCTTTAAAGGGCTCCTTTAAAGGGCTCCTATCAAGGGATCTATAAGGGTGTAGGGTTCCTTTGAAGGGATCCATTAAGGGCTCCTTAAATTGTGCAGTGCTCCCCTGTGGAGGCCTCTGGATTCTGGAGAAAGCCTAGAAGGGGCCCGGAAACTGGAAATCTGTCTTGCTTTTCCCGAAGCCTCGAGCCTGGCGCAAGGAGGGGATGGGTGATGGGTTCCCGTGAAGGGGTCTATAAGGGCAACTACAAGGTATCTATGAGGGTACTTTCATGTAGGGGCCTTGACAATAGGGTCGCTACAGCCCTCGTAGAATATACCGGGAGGCTTCACACTCCCTCAAGGTTCTGAGACGCTGGGCGGGGGGTTTGGTCGGAGCTAAATGGCTCTTGGTACCTCAACGGGTTTAGAGTTTAAAGTTAAGGGGTTCGGGGTGTGGGGCTCCACTGCCTTCATATTTGGAATATTGTTTTGGTGCATATTTAGGGCACGGAACCTCGAGGAATACCTCTATTTTATCCTCGCAGAGTCCCTCTATACTTAAATATGAAGCATCTTGAACGAGAATACGTTCAGGGGGTTAGGGGCCGAGTATAGCTAATCCTGAGGCCTTTGTAAGTAGAACGGCGGTGTAAACTCCACAATGTTTGACAAGGAGCCTAAGGCTTAGCTAAGGCCTAAGGAAAACGTATTGCAAACTGTTCAGCCTGCTGTATTCCGAAAAACGGAGACGGGAGTACTGCCAGCAGATCCATGGGGAAGTGTTGGAACCTCAGCATTTTCGGGAGCTACCAGAGCACAGCCGACTTCAACGTTTCTAGCCTGAAGGGCTTGCTGTTTCAGAGTTTAGGGCTTGGAGCTTGCAAGATTCACGGTGCAAGCGTGACGTCAGGTAAGGCCCCAGCGCTGGCACCAACGAGTAATACTTGTCGAACACAAAGTCTCGTGGGTGAATTCCTGCCAGCATCTTAGGCCGGTTGGGCTTTATTCCGCGATTTGTGATCAGGCTGAGATGGGGTATGGATTTCGCTCATGCACGCAGAGGGACAAAGTCCCAGTGCCTTCACATGAGCGATCAGCACAGACAGAACCCTGTCAGCGAAACGTGACTTCAGACTCCGGCTTATGATTGAGGCCGTGGCCATAAATCTCCGAATAAGGGATAACCTCGTGGACTTCGCACCTCACATGCTTTTCTGCTACGCTCAGTCTAGCTGCAATGCGCCGTGCATCCGAGATCACATACCTGCCCTAATGTAGGGGCCTAGATCATTAGAACAGGGTTTGGGGGATATACTATCATATACTTATAATAAGGGTCTACTTATTAAGGCCCCTACATTACCATCCCTTTGTTAAGGGTCCTCTGCTTGGGGCTCCGACGGATTTGTATCAAACTCCACGCGCCGCGTGCGCCGCTGGGCCCCGGCCCTATTTCTGCCGGGAAGCCTTAGAGACAACAAGAAGGTTAGGGTTTCCAATGAAGAGCACCGCATGATAAAACGGCTCAAGACAGTGCAAGAGACTGGCTCGCGTGAAGGAACTGCAACTTGAACCATCGCCACGAACTGGCAAACGAGCAGAGCACACACAACCTGCTGTCAAGTCCTGCTCGGGCTTCACTTCGAGGATCACACGTCGCAATGGCCAAGGAATCGTGATCCTGCAAAGCACCGAGGGCACTATCAACGGAGGCCAAGTTGCAACGCGCCGGCAGGTTCTCCTCGCAGCTTGGCCCCATGCTCACCTCTGAGCCTTGGGACAGCAGGCATGTGAGCAGAGGTAGGCCACATCAAAAACAAAACAGTCTTGAGCAGATTTGTGTCCAAAGGGTGTAGGTAAGCCACATGAAAAGAAGTTTGTGTCCTAAACTTAAACCCTTGTAACCCTAAACCGAAGCCCAAGGCTTCAAGGAGTCTCTGTGAAGCCTTTGCATGGAGCTTTCCCCGTGCCCTGACCCCCCGAAGGCCGCAGCCGCTGGAAGGAGATCCGGCTTGCGTCGAGCTTTCCTGGCAGGAGACTGCAAGGAAGTCTAGCGTAGCGCATCGTAGGGCAGAGTAGAGGAGAGGAGAGGCGAGGAGAGGCGAAGCGAGAGGAGAGTAGCGGAGAGGAGAGGAGGGAGAGAGTGAGAGAGAGAGTAGAGTATAGTTCGGGTACGGCCCCCATACAGTAACAGTCTATAATGGGCTACTATTAGAGGCCTTATATATCTGTATTATGAGCATTATCCAACTGTTACTGAGTGGGGGCCGTACCCAAAGTATAGTATAGGAAGGCATGAATGGGAGTCACCTGCTTTCACCACACGCAGCTGTGGCCTCTCGCTCCTCTCCTTCTTGCTTGACCTCGCAGAAACCTGGGTGCATTGTCCTTAAGGGTCGTATGATGGGGTTCTATACTCGGGTCCACTTTAAGGGTACAATGGGGTTCCAAGAATAGGGTCCCCTTGAAGGGATTTGGAGAGAAGGACCCGAGTTGCTTCCCACTTCTTGCTGTTTTTGGCATTTCCGAAAATAGGGGACCATAATGACCTATTTTTTGTACCCTACACAGTAGGATCCTTATTGCAAGGACCTGAAAACAACGTACCCCCAATCTTCGCAAGCTCCCATTTTAGGATACAAACTTTGCAGGCCTCAAAAGGTCGAATGAAGGTAGGTAGGATTAAGGATCTCTTATACAAGGACTCGTCTTTCGGGATTACCCCACTTACCTTCATCCCACCTCTTGAGGCCCCTGAAAACCTATACTGAACTTGGAACCCTAGCAAAAGTTAAAATTTTAGCCGTTTCTTAGGGATTATAATAACCACAAATTAAAAAGTATTTCTACGTACCCCTAAGAAACTACGATCTGCATTGAGGTCTGATGGTCGGCCTTCTTCTTCGCTGATGGGACCCTGAGAGAACAAGCACTACCCCGGAACGATCACCAGTCGATCGCATCAGGTAGTAAAATATCATACCATATCATGGCATAAAGATATCTATTTATATGTGTATATATACAAACATACAAATAGAGATGTACCGTTCGGGGTTTAAGGGTTTAGGGATTATGGAGAGAGATATACTGCTATATATATATATATGTATATATGTGTGTGTGCATATGTATATGTGTATATATATATATATGCATTTTTCTTTTTCCTCAATGAAAACTTCCCGGGGCCCACGCTACTGGTGCTTTCCGAGATCGCTGTCCCCTCGCACATCGCGGTGGACGGTCGCACGCCAAACACCTCGTCTCGCGGATTTTACCGAGTCAAAGGCTTTGCTGGAGCTTCGGTTGTTGGCTTGGGATCCGGATGGCTGACGATTCTGAAAACAAGACTTTGCACACCGGGACGCCCAACAAGCTAAAGACGGCGTCTTCGCCCACACACACCCTCCCTGCAGCAGTCATGTCAGTCATGTCTTTCGCGGTGATTTCTGGAAGAAACGACGCACTTGATGGATAAGCTGCTAATACTTCGACTCCTGACAAAACCAAAGGCACATGTTGAAATCGCATCGAAGCTGGGCACACCACGCGGGGGACTTCAGCTGCGGCTGGGTCTAAAGTAGCTCTGAGCCGAAGGCACACTGTGCAGGTTCTGTTAGTCATGGCTTAGGTGCAGGCGCTGTTAGTCATGGCTTAGGGTTTAGGGTTTAGGGGGAGGGCGCAGAAGCTAAGCTGTGGCAACTCTCCTTATGTAGCAACGCTTACTCTGCATCTTTTTGACGATAGCTTTGCCATAGCTGCGATTCGCCCTGAGGGACCAGGGAGCTGGCATTCCACGTGAGGTCGCAAAAACCCCCTGACACTGATTACAACACAAATCTTGTTGGTTGTCCTGCCACTTCCCCTGGATGGTCCCGCATGCCAATCTCTCTACTCACACAGCGTAGCCGCCTGAAGCAGTGGGTGCTGCAGCACACATTGCGGCAAGCTTTCGGAAGACTTGCGAAACAGCGTGCACGCGCACGCCCAGAAAGAGAGAGACAGAGAGAGAGAGAGAGACAAGGAAAACAAAACGAGAGGGAGAGAGAGAAGCACGAGAGCAAGCCATGACCAGGACAGCGCAGTAGAGAAATTTGCCAAGCTTTGAATCGAAACATGGCAAGACCTTGTGCTACACAAGCCGGCGATGCAGAGCATCCATTTCGACGTTCATGAAACGGTGCCGGGTGTCCCTTGGCTCCAATCTCCATAGCCCGCGAGGCGTTTCAGACAAAAAGGGATCCACATATGCTTTCTGTCTGCATGTAAAGCCCTAGGCCCTTAGCAGTAAGTAGGTCGTCGTCGTCGTCTCAGCACCAACACAGCAATGGAAGCAGCAACAACAGTGCTGACAGCAGCACTTGCTCTTGTACTTCAAGTGGCCAGTGCAGGATTATCTGATGCTCCCTGGCCATCTGGCACTCTCCACTACGATACCGGAGCAGCTTCATGAAACGCTGCGCCTGGAGCCTAGCGCATTCCAGGTGGCGCCGGCCTGGGCCGGTGCACTCAAAGCCCCTAGGATCCTAAACCCTACTTAAAGGTTCATGGGACTTAGTAAGGGTTCCTTAAAGGGCTCCTTAAAGGGATCTATAGGGTTCCTTAAAGGGATCTATAGGGCTTAGGATTTAGGGACTACTTAAAGGTTCATGGGACTTAGTATCTATGGGTATAGATGCGGTAACGATGCTTATAATTGGATATAACCCCAGTTGGGGTACGTACTTATGACTGTACTTACTAAGTCCCATGACCCCCCAAGTAGTCCCGAACTGCCCTGCTTGCCCTAAGACCTGTGCCTGCTAACCCGATAACCTATACCCATAACATTTACCTTTACCCTACAGGGTTCCTTTTATGAAGCCTACTTTTTGTTGGTATTATAGGGGGTTTCTTAATCAGGTTCCTACAATACTAATTACCCATACCATCTACCTTACTTCCCTGAGTCACAAACCCTGAACCCTAAGCCCCTAAACCCTATAACCCTTAACCTTAACCCCTAAACCCTAAGCTCCTTAACCCTAAACCCTAAACCCCTACCCCCTAAACCCCAAGCCCCTAAACCCTAAACCCCTAAACCCTAAGCCCCTAAACCCTACACCCCGAAACACCCCTAAACCCATAAACCCGGAAGCTGAAGAGATGCCGAAGAGCATGCCCGGCGGCAGGGCCCTGGCTCTGTTTACTATTGTTACTACTATTACTATTATTAGTGTTATTACTATATATACTAGCAGTATTCGCTGTCGCTTCAAGGCTTCGGGGCGATTGAGGTGCAAAACGGTTTAAGCTTTGGGGGTTTGGGGTTTAGGGTTTGGGGTTTTTGGGATTTAGGGTTTAGGGTTTGGGGATTTGGGACTTAGGGATTGGGGTTTTTGGGATTTAGGGTTTGGGGTTTGGGGATCTCGGGGGTGATTAAGGTTTCGGGCTTCGGGTAGCTAGGGGCTATAGAATGGGTATATAATAATAGCTATATTAAGGGCGATGGGGTTTTGCGGTTTTATGAGCTTCTAGGGGGCTGGAGTTTGGGGTCTGTTGCGCATTGCTACGAAAGCGACAATGATGCAAAGCCATGCCCAAACGATTCGATTCGGCATGGGATCTTGGACGATACGGGCCCCGCGATTCTGCATCATAGAAATATACTAGAACAAACCTCGGCACAAATTTCTACTAGCCTGGCAAGGTTGATGCGAAAACTCTTCGCCCTGTTCTACTTGCTTGGGGCTTGGGATATATTGTAGTATGGTTGTATACCTGGTTTTATGATGAAACAACCAGGGGCTCACGCGAAGCCTTCAATCCATGCGCCCCTCGGCTGAAGCTCGCGGAACCCAATGAGCCCGACACTCCTTGAGGAAGTGCTGCCTTTAGAGCTGAAGATACTTGGAGGGGCAGGGGACTCAGTAAGTCGTTTATAAGTAGGGTGATAATTCGGGTAAGTCCATTTAGGGTACTTATAACTCTACTTATAGCCTACTTACTAAGTGCCCTGCCCCCCAAGTACACTCCTTATTCGAAGGGTATCAAGCCCTCTCGCAACATCCCTAAACCCTAAACCCTAGGCTGGTCGCACAAGGCCCGAAAGATCCCAAACAAGCCAGCGCCGACCCTCCCCCACGTGGTTGCTGGCTGCCAGGGCCCTCCTGGAGGAGCCGAACCCGGTGAACAACGGATTGTAGAGGGCTCAGGGTTTAGGTAGGGTTTAGGGTTTAGGGTTTTAGGTTTTGGGTTTAGGGTTTTGTTGGGTTTCATTAGGGTTTGGGAGCCGAGAAGAGAAACCGAGCTGAGGTAGCATGGGGGCCTTCATACTTAAAAATAGGTTTTGGGGCCCATTCTACTATGATGATAACAAGGGACCCAAAAATAGTATAGGTAACGATTATAGGGCCCCTATAGTAGGTTGCAGCTGAGGTACTATGGGGGCCTTCATACTTAAAAATAGGTTTTGGTGCCATTCTACTATGAGTATAACAAGGGACCCCCAAAATAGTATCGGTAATTATTAAGGCCCCTATAGTAGATTGTAAAGACACCAGCGCTGACCAGAATGGCCAACAGTCTTGATGGTGCGAACCACATAAACAGCTTCGGAGGGACAGAGGCTAGAGGCTTGAGGCTTGTTTAGCAGTTTGGCACGTTGACAAGCTCTGACTACACACTCGGTGCAGGTGCGCGGGGCGTGCACGTGTACATTTCATAACGCTTGGTGCCCATTGCAAGCCTCATCTTACTTACTGAAGGGCGGCGACTGAATGTGATGACTGCTTAACTGCTACAAAAACGCATTGCCAGGCCAATCATCCAATGCTACCTGAGGCTGTCTCGGGCCGTTCTAGTGTTCTCCAGGAGCTGTGTAATGCATAGGCTGTATAGGGGTCCCAGTAATTGGGATAGGGTTTTGAGAATGGTGTAGTATACCAAAGAGTACTACAGTATAGTGCAATATGGTATATAGTAAAAAGTACATAGTATATAGCATATAGTCTGCAGTTAATAGTGCAAGACACTATAATCTGAAGTCTATAGGGAAAAGCTCATAATCTACACAGTCTATACTGTATAGTATATAGTGTATAGTCTATAGCATACAGTATACAGTTTGTGGTATGACGTATGTAGTACATCGTACATAGCATATAGTATATAGCATAGCATAGTATAGTAAATGAACCTATCCTGCGAATACTATGACGAGTTATTCAGGACCCTCGAGCATTTGCGAAGGCTTGAAGCACCTCCACCATGGACTGCACAGTATCTTTCCTGTGGCCTAGCAGCACAGCAACTAGCTTAGCAGCGATAGCAAAATCAGTAACACTATCCGCTTGTCGCCACTACAAGGCTATCCCACACGTCAGTAATGATTGGAGTAATGATTCAGGCAACAGATATGGGGGTTTCCGAAAATTGGGGGCCCTAATATAGAACCCTACATAGTAGGATCCTTGTAACAAGGACCCCAAGATAAGATACCCCCAATTTTCGGGAACTCCCATGTAAATATCCTACCGATAGCCGATTCTCCCCCTCTTGACCAGACCTTGGGCCGGTTCGCAGCGATAAGTCGCTCTGCCGCAGAGCCGTGCCTGCAAACAGCGAGGTAAGGTTCTAGTTGGGTCATTCTAAAGGGATGCTGCCAGTTGTTGGTAATACCACAATATTTATGCCGACGCTGTGGTGTGCTAGGGTTGAGGGTTTGGGACTTCAGAGGTCAGGACTTGCTTTACGTCTTTAGGGTTTGGCGTGTACTTGGGGGTTCATGGGACTTAGTAAGTACAGTTATAAGTACCCTAACTGGGGTTATATCCATTTAAAAGTATAGGTACCTTATTTAGAACCATAGTTACTAAGTCCCATTAACCTTTAAGTAGGGTCTGGTGTGTAGGGCGTAAGGCTAAGACTTCCGTGTGAAGGGTGGTGTTGACATCCTGTTTCGCCTGCTCGCGGAAGCCTCCATAGAACCCAGAGACTCCAATATCCCCATAATTAGGGAAGACCTGGAATTCCTTTGAGGGTTCTATAAGGTTTAGGGTTTAGCGCAATATCCCTTAATTCAGGGATATGCTTTAAATCATATTAGGGGTCCTACGATAATTTCAAGTAATTCCCTGATTGATGGATACTGGAATCTCTGGGAAGCAGACAGCTTCCTCCAAGCAACTCCTCCTGCATCGTCAACGAACCGGCCTAGCTTTCTGGCCTTCCAGGGGCTCTGAAACCTGAACCCTAAACTTCCCTCAGCCCCAAACCCTACTATAGGGGCCTCAAAAAATTAGAATTGGGTTTTGGGGCCCATTAAACTATAATTATAACAAGGAACTCCCCAGAATAGTCATTAAGGCCCCTTTATCATAGTACCCGTATAGATCCCTTTTGAAGGGACCCTTGAAAGGAACCCTGTTCTAATTAGTTTAGGCCCCTACTTAAAAGATCATGGGACTTAGTAAGCAGGGTTATAAGTAAAGTAACTACAGTTAAAATTACTTCTAACCCCAATTAAGGTAGTTATAACCCTACTTACTAAGTCCCATGATCCTGCAAGTATAGCAGGTCTTAAGCCAGAAACCCCAGCCCACGCCTCTCGCCCTTCGTCTCTTTCTTGTATGCATAGGAGACGCTGATTGGTCGGTTGCACAAGAACTGCCTCAGGCGTGGGCTTCTTGGAGGCAGAGATTAAGCTTTGCGGTTTAGGGTTAGGGTTTAGGTTTGGGGAACTCGGAGTCCACGTGATTCCCGAATCAACGGCCGGTCACGATCATGCTTGCATATCTGCTTCCAAATAAACCTGGAACAATAGAAGCACAAGCTGCGCAGAGCTTCGGCCAAGATGATGAGTCTAGACATTACTGAAACTCTCCGAGCTCCATTGTATAGTAGTGCATAGTATGCCATTACAATTGAGGGTATGTTGTAATATACTATAGCATGTTATACTTGTCCTAATTAAAACATCTTATAGTATCCTTATCGCACATTGTAACATATCGCAGTAAACCCTAGCATCTTATAGCAAAGCAGCATAGTACGGTCTCATCTAATCCTGTATAGTTTGACTTACGCACTCCAATATTTGGTGACGCATTACTATAGCAAGCTGTACTATAGTACCCTATAGCACACTGTAGTCTACTATAGTATACTATATGAAAGTTCCCCAGCCACGCTAAGCAACTTCCAGAGCCGCTGAGAGCCGAGCCCGTTCATTCCGGCAAGCGCCGCGTCCGACGCCTGTAGGGCGCAGGCGTAGTCTCCAGGTGTAACGTTTAGGCATTAAGTGTTTGGTTTAGGAAGTTTAGGGTGTATAGGATTAGTGAACTTGCCGTGCCCATGCCAGGCCGGCTCTCCAACGGTGGGCTTGCTCATCTCGGCCCCTACGCATCTAGATCAACATGCTCAGCACGCAAATCCATGCGACTCAATGCACTCTGCAATGAGACTACCACGACCCCACCATCCTTTCCTTGTGCCGCTATGCACAACTCACAACTCGACATGCCTCGAAGGTGTCGTAGGAAATGAATCCGAAGCCTCGCGACACGCCTGGCAGCAAGAGGTCCAAGCAGGTAAACGAGACTCGGAGAGGATGTGCTTGGCGGCATGATATACCAGGGGCTTTCGGATTCAGTTTTGGCTGGAGTGCCGTGCCGTTCTGACATTGAGCTGAGTTTGAATTCCCTACCGAGTTCTACTTTGCTGCTGCGGCTTGCATTCTCGGAACTTTCGTACCAGCCTTGGAAGTACATGCACAAGCTCACATAACTTGAAGCCGACCCTTTCACTGACTCCTCGACCCTGAACCCTGAACTGAACTTTAGAACCCACCTGTGTCCGGGTCTCTCATGACCTTGGCGAAGAGCAAAACCTCCAGCAGTCAAAAAGGCACCGGACTTCTGAGGACCCAAATCACAGGTAGAGTTTGGGCATCAGTAATAGTTGAATAATACTCATAATATGGATATATTAGGACCTTAATAGTAGCCCCATTATAGACTCTTACCATATGGGGGCAGTACCTAAGGTAGATTTTAGGTTAGGGTTCAGAGTCTCGAAACTCCCACAGACTAGGGACCATGGCTGGTGTTATTAGAAATTTTCGGGTTCCTGACAAAACCATTTAGGTCAGGCTTAAAGGTGTTATGAAAATACTACTGGATCACCCCGGATCCGAAACTTACACTCACAAGGATCCCAGAACAAACACCTACAGCAACGACTTAGATCTAGGGTTTACGGTTCAGGGTTAAAGGCTGAGTTTTCATGTGCTCCTTTCCGAAAATTTTAAGGCTTCACGATTAACGCCGGATGTGCCGTTTCCTCGTAGACCCCGAGCAGTCGTTCTGCTGTGGCAAATTCCTGAAAAAAAACCCTAAAACCCAAAGTTCCTAAAGCATCAAGCGGAAAAATCCTAAACCCTCCACCCGACTTCCTCGTTTCCTCACAAGCGCCAAACCTTTTTGGAATCATCGGAAAACCCTGCAGATCCGACTTCAAAACACATCAGCCTCATATTATGGACGCCAGAATAATCGTAGAACTGTAATAACGAACCCTCAGGAACGGTATGGATTGGATTGGAGTCGACATTCCTGTGTGACTTATTATTCAAACTCCCCGAGTTACCCTCAAAGACAATTCTCCCCTTCTACCCTTTCGTTTGGATTGTGGCTTGAAGGTAAGCACGCTTGGGGAGGCTTTAATGCTTAAGATTTGGGGTTTGTAAGGTTAAGGGCTTAGGGCTTCTGACGGCGCGCGGGGCTTAGGAGGAAAGACACGCGAACTTGTAAGGAGCAGCCCTCGAAAACAGAGGGTCCGGCCCCGAAGGCAGAGAAGGTGTCGTAGAGCATCCTTGGTGTTTAGGGTTTAAGGTTTGGGGTTTAGGTAGCAGGTAATCTCCGGCAACTGCCTTCCATGACTTTGATTCCACGCCGCATTTCCTACCACTTCAAGCCCCTAAGCCCTAGCTCTTGGAGTGCGATGAATACTTCGCTACTCTTCCCTCGTCATGTAGCCAGGGCTAGGGAGCCTCACACTTAAAACTTGGGATAATATTGGGGTCTGAAGAAGACTAGGAGGTGGAATTCTGGTATCCCTTTCTTGACAAAAAAGGGATGCAGTCTTCGTTCCAGGTCCAAGCGTCTTCTCATCGACCTGCGAAGCACGGACCAGAGACGGAGCAGAGCCACTGTAGGGGCCTTAATTATTAGAATAGGGTTTTGGGGCCCATTATACTATAACTATAAAAGGAACCCTGAGGAAAATTAGGCTTCTACATTATGGGACATGGAAGCCAAAGAGAAAGTGTGTAACGCAAGCCCAAAAGTCTCTATAAATAGTACGTTTTGAAACAAGCCCAAATCCAAGGAGCTCAGAATCCAGAACAGAGACCCAAGTTGGGAACAAGAGGGCCCATGTTCTTCTTCCGGCCGTTTCTCGTCGCATCTAGGAGTCTCCGAAAATTAAGGGCACCTTATTCAGGGTCCTTATAATTAGAATTCTATTCTACTAGTTAGGGTACGATATTGGGGTCCCCTATTTTCGGAAACTCCCACATGACTACATCTTAGGCGCCTGTACCTACGAAACCACCTTCCCGTCAGCACGGCACCGAAGACGCTTAAACCCCGAACGCCCTACTGTAAACCCTTAACCCTAAGCCATACCCCAAAACCCCCAAAACCACCGAAAACCATCCAAAAAAACACCAATCCACCAAAAATTAAAAAAAAGCCCTGAACCGTAGAAAGGTCGCCATGGCCGTCGGCCTCGGGCTCTAAGTTGCCGATGAAGAGGTTTGCACCGACCTGGATTCTGTTTACTTACCTTCGGTTAGTAGGGAATGGAAGAATAGTAGTAATAGCAGTTGTAACTGTACCCCATTCCTCCATTCCCTACTAACCACAGGTAAGTTTAGGAGTTTAGGCGACTGCTTCGCTTGCTATTATAGATCCCTTATAGTAGCCCTTATAGTCCCCTTTAAAGGGACCCTAAACTTCCCTATAAACCCTACGATGGAGGCGTTTAGGGTTTAGGTTCGGGGCTTGGAGCTTTTTGGGTTTAGAGTTCAGGGTTTAGGGCTTGTTCAGGATTTTAGCTGTGGAAGTGAGGGTGAAGCATCGCACAGGAAGTCTCTGCTTGACACCGGGGCTGAGGATTTGCCTTAGCAGGGTCCTGGTTGCATCTCCACGGACGCCCCCCAACCGCCCCCCGCCCCCCGCCTCGTTCGTCTTCTTGTCTTGAGAGGACTTGTTGCATCGAATGGGCTTGCCGAAGAGCCTCCAAGCGGATCAAAATCACGCAGGGCTTTGGGGCGGGGCCTTATCCTATATTTATAAGGGAATTAGCATATGCAATTATTAAAGCCCCCGTAGTACAGACCCCCAGAGTCGGGAGCGGACTGTAAGGGGGCACCTGATCATGTTCATGATCTTGATGGCGTAGTCCGCATCTTCTTCATTCTTATACTCCACAAAACCATACCTGACAAGAAAGGATAGGTCAAGGAAAGGAGGTTGAAACGGATCGCAACCAGATGGCTGCCGCGGGGATCGCGGAGTGCAACACATTGAAGACTTAGGTGGTTGTCAAAATTATGGTCCCTTTTTGGTTCCTTATTATGATACGGCACCTAATATTTGGGGTACCCAAAGAGCTGCCATCATTTTGAGAGAGCATCATCATCACCATCATTCTCATCATCTTCCGCTTCGTCTCTTTTTGCACGGTCATGGTAGACTACAGGAAGCCTGGGAGCAGCCCCTTGCAAGCCGAGGCGGTGCTCGATGGGCACGGAACTCATATAGGGGCCTGAATAATTAGAATAGGGTTTTGAGGCCCATTATACTCTAATTATAGTAAGGAGCCCCCAAAATAGTACCGGTAAGTATTAAGGCCCCTATATTGGCTTAGCCTATTTTTGCGAACTTCAAAAACCGTCTAAGCGAAAGAACAAGCCCAACAAGCTAAAGGCACTCCGAGACCTCCTCATCAGGGAGAAGCAGCCTACCATGGAAGCCCAAAAAGTGAAGATCCCTCAGAAACAGCTACAGTTGTGGTGTTTACTAGGGGTTTAAAAGTTCAGTACAGTGTCGAACGCATCCCAGACCACTGCTTTCCAAGCCCAAGTAGCCGCAAAGCTTGAAAGCCAACGGACCCCGTCAAAACCCTTCCAGTAAAACTCCGCGCACAAACAGGACAGGGTACCCTAAACCTGCAAAACCCTAAAGCCCAAAACCTGGGGCCGGGTATAGCAGCAAAGCTTTGCAGCTTCAGGCCCTCTACCAATGTGAACAAGCCGGAGGCTTTCAGCAACCTGAATGATTAACGTTGCGCTTCGGTGGTTGTCTAGTGTCTAGTCGGAGGCCTCAAAAGGTGGGATGAAGGTAGGTAGGATTAAGGATCCATTAAGGGCTCCTATTTGGGAATATCCCACCTACCTTCATCCCACCTTTTGAGGCCTCCGATCTAGTGAAAGAGGAACCAGACGTGAGCAGGTCTTCTTTTTGCTCCGAGCGCTCACGGCCCTCTTTTGGCAGTTGGATGGTCTCGTCCCAGGATCAGATCTCTCACCTTGACCGAAGGAAACTGTCTGGTTCTTTGTAGGGAGTGAGGGATGGGATTATAGAGACCGTTATTGAGGATTATATAAGGACTACTATAGGGATCCATTCCCCCATTCCCTACTAAGCACCAGACAGCAAAGATAGATTCCAGCTACTTAATGGATCATGGGACTTAGTAACTAGGGTTATAATTAGGGTAACTATACTTATAACCCCAATTAAGGTACTTAAAACTGTACTTACTAAGTCCCATGATCCTCCAGGTAGATCCCCGGATCTGACAAAGCTTGTCCGCAGGGAGCTGGTTAGGCTTTGGGGGTTGCGGGTCGAGGGTTGAGGGTTTAAGGGCTCGGGGTTTAGGATTTAGGTTGAGGATTTCAGGCCTTAGGGGATTACCGTTTGTGGTTTGAAGCTACAGGTTAGGGTTTTGGGGTTATGGATTTGACCGGCTTCCCTAACTGCTGTGGGCCTTGCTCTCCGAGCCTCAACATGCCGAAAACGCTGCTACATGTGTGGTTCAAGGTTATTTTTCACCCACGAATCATTCATGGACGTGCTCGCACTGATCTTTCCCGGTCTGCCTCCAAGGTTGGCGTCTACATATGGGAGTTTCCGAGAATAGGGGACCCTAATATAGTATCCTCAATAGTAGGATCCTTATTATAAGGACACCAAAATCAGGTACCCCTAATTTTCGGACACTCTCATATGGCAAACATACCCAGGTTCGGCCTAAACAGCAAGACTGGAAGACTGGGGTCCATACACTCCGTCTGGGGTTGTTGTTGGGGACGTCTGGGCTTGGGTGGTTGTCAAAATTAGGGTCCCTTTTTGGGTCCTTAATTTAATACAGCACCTAATATTTAGGGTACCCAAAAAGGGACCATAACTTTGACAACTACCCGGTTGTTGTTCAGGACATATCGGACCACTGGAGCGACGCTTCGACATCTAAGATTCGCTGAGGGCTTCTGAAGAACTATGGCGAGAAGGTGCGGCCGTTGCATCCAAGAGGCTGAGAATCGATCCCGGACGATCCCCTCCGCGCACTGATCCATAGTTGCTGAATCCTCAGACTCAGCCCCTAAACACTAAGAGTCAGCTAGACCACACCAAAACAGGCGCTGCAAGCACTTCAATACCATCCGTATCCGGCTCGTGAAGGACGCTCGCGGCAGTTGCTGCAGGAGGTGTAACCCGTGTAGGGATCATCCAGGTAAGGGTAGCTCCCCCGGTGTCCACCTTGCGGCTTGTGGAGCAGGCTTAGGCTTTCAGAAGCTTTGGGTTCAAGGGTTAAGGTTGTTGAAGAGGTTCCGGGCTTGCACCGTTCTGTCCCCATTCCTGGCCCCAACAAATAATCTGTCACGGGTGTGATACACATGCACACTACGTGCAACACTTCTGCCTTCCTCTGACTGCTTCGCAACGGAGTTACTCAATCAAAATGTTCCAGCTGCCATCAGGTCGGTTTCTCTACCATTTGTGTATGTTTGAGAAAAGCAAGCTGCACATCATCGGACTTGCGTGAATTGGAAGCCCGGGCACAGTACGAACAGCGCCAGGTCAGCATCCAGTGATGCAGGGGGCTTCCTTCCACAGCTTTCTCTCCCAGGACCATATGGGTGTCCTGAGCTGTTTGGGAACGAAATGCCAGACCAGCCCTTGTTCCAGAGTGCCCAAACGCTGCAAGCGCTAACGAAAGCCATACATGGTTCCCTGGTGGTCTAAGGCAAACATACCGATCAGAAAAAGCACAGCTGTGTCCAAGTTTCTGTCTTGCTCTTCCCCACAAGCATGTAGCCCATCTCCTCTAACTCAGACACCACCGCGTCCTCCTCAGTGCCAGCATGTGATAATACTAATAGCAGTTCCAACAGTACTAGCAACAGTAACTGTCACATTAAGAAAAGACTTCAATAATAGCAATAAAACAACAGTAACAATCACATTAACGACATTAACCAGAATAGCAAAAGAAAAGAAAAAATAGTTTTAATAATAGTAATACTGACAATACATGAATATATTAGTCCTGACACTAACAATAATGATAACAATAATGATAATAAGAATGATAATAAGAATGATAATAAGAATGATAACAAGACTGATCATAAGAATGTCACCAAAAACGATGACACAACATGAGATGATAAGAAGCACAATAATAATGGCAATAAGAATGATAAAGAGAATGATAGTAGTAGTGGCAATAACAACCACGATAATTTAACTCAGCTAATGGTAAGACTGTACTAGCAGCAATATGTAAATAAATACAATAATACTAGCAACAATACTAGTAAATCGGACGAATAAAACACAATATTAATAGCAATAACAATAAGAAGAGGAAGCATAATATTTACACGAACACTGATAAGGGGAACGGTATCAAGAAGAGTAAAGAGAACAATACTATTACTGTTAATACTAATAAATACTACTAATACGTAAAATGATGATGGACAGTAGCAGAACTGTCCGTACTAAAAATACTGATAATAACAATAGCAAAAAAAGAAACCATAATAATAACAGCCGCAAGCCGAGCTGCATCCGAGCCGTTGCCACGCGCGTTCGAGAGGCCGTTGCTCTCCTGGACCGGACGGGGGTTGAGGATCCGGACATGAGAATAGGGTTCCATAGTATAATTATAGTATCATGGGAGTTATGAACCCTGTGATGGGAACCCTAATCCCGACTAAACCCCCATAGGATCCGGAAATGAGAATAGTGTTTGGGAGCTTAGAAGTTTAAGGTTTAGGGTTTTGAGGTTCAGGGTTTGGGTTTAGGGGTTTATAGGGGATGCTCCGAACTCTGAACCCTGAACCCTACAGCCCAAAACCCCTCGGAGGACCCTTGGGCTACCCAAAGCCCCTCTGAGCGGGAGTCGAACTGGATGAGCCATGGTCGCTCTTCGGGCCGCCACCAGCCTGGAGGGGCAAAACGCGCAAAAATGCGGGAAAACTCCGGTATTTCAAGACTTTACGGGTTTAGGTGTTTAGGGTTTTTGTGTTTAGGGTTTAAGTGTTTCGGGTTTAGGGTTTAGGTGTTTAGGGTCTAGGTGTTTCGGGTTTAGGGTTTAGGGTTTCTGTTGGGAGGATTTGTAAGGGTGCTGTAGCTTGCTTCTGTTTCAACAAGGCTCAGATTTACTGTGCTGCAATCAGGCTCCTAAATGATCTACCATACGAGATGTTTCAAGGACCACGCCGGGGGTCGAGGCTTGTCGGTTGACGGCTTAAGGCTTCGTTAGGGTTTGGATGGTTTTCGGGCTTAGTTCGGGTTTGGCGAGGGTGTCCGTGTCGTCAGGTTTTTAAGGCTATCAAAATTTAGTGGTTCAGGGATGGCGTCTTGCTGGTTGCAGCCATGCCGGTCCAGCAATCGCATTCGCTGGGCAGCCATTATGTAGGATACCCCAAGACGCTGCTGATTAGGATCTTAATACTATTTCACTTCCTTCCCAACTGCTAGATTCGACAACTACAGCCTTCTGCGCAAGCAACAAAAGCAGCGTATGGAAGTGTGCGGTTAGTAAAACAACTTATTGATTTACCTGGTTTCGAATTCTACTCGGAGACTGACCTGTTCTTTGGCAGCCGAGCTACAGTGGTATGCCATTGAGCGCAAGATCTCCTTGCCGCAGCAGGTTTAGAGATACGGTAGGACCGCTTCAACATCCGACATGCTCCCTGCCGTGATTACATGCCTCTCGATGTTCGTGCAGGAATTCATCATTGAGACACCGCGTCTACGTGTTCCAAAACTGGGTTGGGTGCAGCTCGAATCCCGATAACTCACGCACCAGGAAGACTGTGGTGTCATGGGATTGAATGCTGGAGAATGCAGTCTTCAAGTTCGAAAGGACGCCGCCCTTAACATGCTGCGAGGCACAACGTCGCAACCTTCTGTGTCCAGAACCAGCACTTCGCAGCCGTTGAAGCCTTCAGCTCTTGTACTTTCAGGATTCCAGGTTAAAGTCTTGGGCTTAGGGTTGTGGGTTTTGGCTCGCGGGTCAGAGCAGCGCAGCACACTCTCTTCTGACGTACCCATGTGAGCCATGGCACCCATCTCCCGCGTGAGTCGTCGCCAACTCCAAAGCTGTACCTTGCTTTCCGAAACGAAAGGAACCTACCGGACCGATTACTATACCCCCCTTCGAACCATAATAAAAACAGTATGTTTATTATTCTCTTGGGCTTTATATGAACAAACATAGAAAATAGTTCCTAAGGAGACCATAGATTATGCGTAGGTGCTGCAACACCAAGGTTTCTTTGGAAACTGCCTGTGAGAGCCTTGTGGAGGCTTTGGTTCATGGTTATTTTGGACAGTGCCCACCGGTCAGCATTGCCACCAGCGCAGAGAAAAATCCCGAGCCCTGACTGCTCGACACATCTCATCCCTCAGCAGATTGTGATGGTGAGTTGTTGGTTTGCTGTTGCAAAGGCTTCCGGTCGAATTGAACACCACTCACAATCTGACTCGAGCAATGCTGAAGAAGGAACACAGCAAGAAGCAAAATATCACAGTTCGACCTATGTCCAAGCTGTGCAGTCGCCCAGTCGCATTGTCCCTGCGAAGAGGCACTGCGACCTCAATGACGCTGCTCAGTCTTTGTCTCTTTGTCGCAGACAGCTCTTGGACACAGAATTCGGACTTCGGACCGTGAGATCACATCATGGCGAAAAATATCATTTGCATGGAGTGCTACGGCGGCTAAGGTACGCACTCCGTCATGCTTGCCATCAGCTTCAACCCCAACCACCTCGTAAAGTCCCTTAGAAAACATCACAAAAACCATATTTAGGGTTTAGGGTTTAGGTATGTATCGCGACCTAAACCTCAACCCTAAAGCCTCAGCCCTGAACCCCAAATTGTCATCGCAAGTACACGCCAGCGCTTGGCACGTGCTTCAAGGCTTTTCCTGGGAACCCCTGTGAGGCCACCGGCCTCGGCCTTGTCAACCAGCCGGGAGTGAAAATACCTTTTCGGTGGGTTTTGGGGTTTCGGGGTGTTGCGTTTAGGGGTGTAGGGGTTGAGGGGCGTAAGGGTTCTTTTTTGGTGCAATGACGCTCCTTTCTCCAAAGCGCGCCTACCTTAAGGGGTTTAGGGGTTAGGGTTGGTGGGTGTTGGGGTTGAAGATTCGTGCTAACACTAGCCGCTCTGTTCGCGGCTTGAGATGGGGGTTTCTGAAAATAGGGGACCCCCTAACATAGAACCCTAAATATAGTAGGATCCTTACTATAAGGATCCCAAAATGAGGTGCCCCTAGTTTTCGGAAACTCCCAGATTCCGGAACTTGAAAGGGCTGAAGTGTTCGGAGCTGACAATGCATGTGTTAGGAGTTCGGATGAGGGGGACCCTCGGGGGGATATCAATAAGAGAGCCACAGGCTGAAGAAGGGTCCCCTCTCAGGGGTCTCCCTAATACCACCCAGGACGTGTCCATAGCTGCCGCAGCGATTTGCAGCCTCGCTGCTCCAAGTGGGAGGAGATGGCACCGACGGAGGACATGTTGCGCAAATAGCTCATATCCCAGTCGTAGTGTTCCTGAACGTGTGGGCGTCTCTGCCCGGTGCATGCATCTCTGCGTACATAGATGTAAACTTACATGTATGCATACATACATACGCACATGCACGCCTTTGTTCGTACATAGCCGCATAGCCAAGAACCAGAAAGCAGCGCTCATTCGTTCATGAATCCGTCCATCCGTCCATCCATCCATCCGTCCATCTGTCCATCCGTCCATCCGTCCATCCGTCCATCCGTCCGTCCGTCCCTCCCTCCCTCCGTCCCTCCATCCATCCATCCATCCACCCACCCACCCATCCATCCATCCATCCATCCTTTCCATCCATCCATCCACCCATCCATCCATCCATCCATCCATCCATGGATGCATGAGTTCATGACTTTATGAATTCGTTCCTTCAATCCTTCATGCATGCATGCATGTCAGTCAGTCAGTCAGTCAGTCAGTCAGTCAGTCCGTCAGTCAATCAATAAATCGATCAATCAGCCAATCAGTCAAGCAGTCAAGCAGTCAAGCAGTCGAGCGGTCAAGCAGTCAAGCCGTCAGTCAGTCAGTCAGTCAGTCAGTCAGTCAGTCAGTCAGTCATTGACTCAAACATTTGGTTTCGCTCCGTCGAATTTCATTCAGTCAACACTCACGCATTCCTTCGATCATTCCTCCGTCCATGCATACATGCACACATGCGCACGTTACATTCGTACAGTCATGCGTTCATACTATTTCATACACACATACATTCATGCGTACATACATGCTCAAATACACACAAGCACAAACACAAACACAGGACCTGGGAGGGAGGGATCCTTCCTCCTTCCTCCCACCAGGGAGTTCCTCATTTCCTAAAATCGCTTGGGACTTGCAAGTTACGATTGCCTTCTTGCGGAGCGACAGAGTAAATCCGGACTTCTGTCACGGAACCCACCGGGGAAGCTGGCTCCTATAAACCGTAAAACCTACCCCCTAAACCCTCCAACCCCTAAGCCCTAAGCCCTAACCCCTAAACCCTAAGGAATCCGTTCCATAAGGGATCCTGATATTTGGGGTCTCCCCAGCATGTTCGGGAGCCTGATTTAGGAATCCAAAAACTAGGATCTTGACATTCAGACCGAAGATACAACGAAAATTAGGAGAGTGAGATCATCGTTTCCGAAGGCTTCACGACATCATGCAGATGTGGACACATGCTGCACCATCAGATCAGACAAAACAGATGCTCCAGTATCGGTTCTATTTAGCGCTCATTTTCCAACAATGCCGACACATCCAAAGACCTAATGTTGTTCGAACTGATGTTCTGTTTGCCCCCAACGGACATATTCACACATGGCTGCACCGTCAAACAGCATGGCTGCATGAAGGATAGTAGAAAAGGACGTTTAACGTACCGTCGAAAAACGGGGCCGAGCCCCTTATCTTCTGGTTCCCCAAGATACGTGATACGTCGTAGGTCCAAGGCCATGCCCAAGAAGGCTACGACTCTCGCATAAACCCAGAACCCCAGATTTCAAAGCCCTACTGCCTTTTCAGGGTTTCCCCGAATTCTACGTCGTCTCCCTGAAAACAAGCCCTGGCACCCGCTGCGCGGCGCTCATCGTTGCCAGAGCCTCCGGCGCCGCCGCCTCGACGCGCCAGAGCCTCGGTTTTTGCATTCATGGGAGGCCAAAAGGGGTTTTAGCATATGGGGGTTTAGTAGGGATTAGGGTTCCCAGAATGGGGTTCATATTTAAGGAATCCCTACCCCAAGAATCTCAAACCCCCCTTTTGGCCTCCCATCATGCATTGTCGGATTTTCGGGTTTAGAGTTGTTGGGCTCTGGGGTTCCAGGGCTTGGGGTTCAGGCTTCTAGGGTCCCGGGTTTATGGTTTAGGGCTATAGAATTCTACTTAGATTAAAGGATCATGGGACTTAAGAAGTAGGGTCATAACTAAAGCAACTACAGTTATAACCGCAATTAAAGTACGTATAACCCTACTTTCTTAAGTCCCATGATCCTCCAAATAGGGTTTAGGGTTTAGCGTTATCATTCGGGAAGTTGTCAAAATTATGGCCTTTTTTTGGGTACCCGAAATATTAGGCTGTGGTTAGGCCAAGCATCATGGCCTCGATGCGCGTGCGTTTCGTCCCTCTCGGAGCTTCTGGAGGCACGTTTGGGGGGTGAACGGATGACCTAATGAAAAACCAGCCAAGTTTCACACAGGGCAACCATGTGCGCTGTGCTGTGAATACTGTCGATCCCATCGTTGATAAACACCTTGAGCCAAGATGCTGCTGCATTCATGCATGTTATCGAGGAAAGTTACGCCTTCGCCATGGCGACATATGTTGATACAAATGATACACGCAACACACAATGTTCACACTGAACTTACATTGATTGTGCAAACTTGTGCAAGCACGCGTGGGAATGTTAGCGCGGTAATCGTCATCGCATCCAGGGATTATGATAGTGTCAGCATCTCCATCTTTTTGGATTGTCGTAATTCCTGCCAGGACATGGCAAAGAATGACATGATTGAGCTGGGTAAGGTCAAGGAACGATGTGCGTGAATGCTTGGTGGGCCTCCATACAGATACGGTCTCGTGCACAAACTTCCATCTCCAGATTCGAACCATTTCGAACCCTGACTTCGATGTCTTTTGAACCTGACAACGCATGTTTGGAATCAAGAGGTTGGGTGAGTCTTAGTATCGCTGCACAGCGTATCGTCAACAGTCCCAGTGAACATGTGTGTACCTATATATATATATATATATATATATATATATATGCTACCCCCCCCCCTAAGACCCGCAAGAAGTAGTAAAAGATCCTGATAATTCACTCCAGCATTCCTACATGTGCTATCCACGCGTGTGCAAAATACGGTGTAGACAAGATAATCTAGTGAAGTATTGCTGTTATCTGCTTAATAACTAGATTTATAAATATTCTTATACAAATGTTTGAACAATTTGATGCAGCATTACTGCAAATAATGTTAGGAAATTACGCAAAACACAATATAAGCAAGATAATCTAGTGAAGTATTGTTTTGTTCTAAATCTGCCCTGGAGCAAGAAATGTAAATATTCGTATAAAATTTTAGACAATTTGATACAGTACTAGCACAATTACCATTAGGAATTACGCATAACACAATATATCTAAGATAATCTAGCGAAGTATTAACACCGCATCATACATGTATTTGTTTGATATAATTCTGCTCATAGCAGGTGGGAGCCCACCTTCCCAACTTCTCCAATTTCTTCACTTATATCATATTTTGAGCCACCCAAAAATTAAACATTGTTTTCCGTGCTGGCCAATATTTCAGACCAAGAGCCACTATATTCAATTTTCCCCTTCCTCACTGCCATATTATAAGGACTGATTGCTTCGTTGGAAGTTCCGCAAAACGTATTTCCTCAATTATTGTTTGTATGAGCCAGCCAAACAGGAACAGATAGCCAAACAAACTCCGGAGAAAACATCGAAAAGGAAAAGGAGTGTTTCTAATTGGCACACAGACAGACAAATCTCAATTTCCATCGTAAGCCCTAAGCCCTAAAGACCCTAGACCCTAAACCCTGAACCCTAAGCCCTAAGCCCTAGTCCCGAAGCCCTGGGTGTAGGTTCCAGGTCCCCTTGAACGAATCTAGCTGTTGATTAATTGACTCATTGCACAATCTGACATGATTTGGATGAGAAGCCTGCTGTCTTCTAGAACCATTGACAAGCTAATTTCCCTACATCGGCTTAATCCTTTCCCGTTGTAGGAAGTCACCCCTGAGAATTGAAATTAGTATTGGGCCCGACATCCAGAACATTAAGCGGGATTTGGGTTCGGCCTGTTTTGCAGCCCACGAACCCTGAAATTCTACATGTCTGTGGCCTGCGGCCTGCAAATCACCACAGCACTACATTCTCGAAACCAAGGCTGCCCGTAATCCTCTAGCTCCTAGCATTACCTGCTCCCACATTATTACGAGTATTGGCGTCAGATATTACCATCGTGCCAACGCCCAGAGCATTTCGTTTAGCTTGAGTGGTGGTATGAGTACTAGTAATCCGTAGTAGATTTCTCTGCTGGCCACTGATATCACCAGTCCCTCGTCCTGGCTCGTAGTATTCAATGTATCCGTGATAATACTCGCAAAATCGCTGGCGTGCTACATGGGTTAGTTCAAGCAGGGGCCAAACAACTCGTTCAGTCTACTGTCATAACTTCCATCCTAAACTAAATTAAGAAAGCACGGATATACCACTAAGAAATATTGCCAGTAAGTTGATTAGGTGACTGGTTAAACCAACGTTTTTGTGTATACATAATACTGTGACATACACTGTGTAAGCACCTGGAATTAGCTAATTCTCTACATTACCATGGTCTGGTCATGTTTCAATCACGGGACAAGTGCATCCATTCACCAACCCATATGGTTTCAATTGCTTGCCTCTGGCATAGGGCTGTCAGAATGCAAAAGGTGAAAAACAATTACTCGGCTTGGCAGCAAGTAGACTAAATGTGTGCTTAAACCGTTTGAAATGGCTAGCTCCTTATCTTGATATAAGCAGAAAATTTAACCGACATGCATTTAGATACGCCCGCATGCAGATTAGAGGCTTCATTTTGGCAATGATAGTGGGTTCCTATACATGAGTTGGACTGATGAATGGCCAAAAGACAACTAGTCTGGCACGTGACAAAAGAAAATGAAGATATAAGCAGAACACTATAGAATGGGATGTTTACTTAGTATTTCAAGTATGTAATCTGATTAACCACAGGCATGAAGAAGCCACAACAAGCTTTCACATAGGTTAACTTTTTGAATGATGCCGTTATTTGGATTTATGTTGAAAAGAAGCAAACAGGGTCTTTACACACACCGGAACAACAAATTTTTCCTGCCTTGGCACTACCAGATTCCTTTATGCGCACATGTATCAGCCTCTGTGCTTGAGACAGAAACGAAATCTGGATGTCATGATGTTTCACAGGTTGGCACAAAGTCGCAGGTTTTCAGATTCGCAAATTCGCAGATTCGCAGATTCGCAGATTTGCAGATTCGCAGATTCGCAAATTAGCAGATTTGCAGAATCTTAAATTCGCAGATTCGCAGATTGTATAGCCTTTGCGATTTGGCAATCTGCGAATCTGGGATTCTGCGAATCTGCGATTCCGCGAATCTGCGAATCTGCGAATCTGCGAGTCTGCGAATCTGCGAATCCGCGAATCTGCGAATCTGCGAATCCGCGAATCTGCGAATCTGCGAATCTGTGAATCTGCGAATCCGCGAATCCGCGAATCTGCGAATCCGCAAATCCGCTGAAGTACCCGTCACGGCGAGGCCCTTTGAGCGTCAGATACTTACACGTCGCGTCGCGAATCCCTCAAATTGAGAAGCCCTGAAAGACCCTGAACGTTATTGCAGCTGCATCCATGCCCCGATGAAGTTGGGCAAGTCGAGAGTACCTGACAGCAAAGCGTGGGTTTTTGGGGGGGTACCATATATATATATATACATATACATATACATATACATATACATATACATATATAAATATGATCCCGGGTGTGGTGGTGGGTTGCTTCCCCCCTCCCTGTGTGGTCGGGGGGAAGGTCTGGCTGGGGTGGTTCCCCGCCTCCCCCGCTGTGGGATCGCGCGCCCCTGCATTTTTTAGGTCTGCTTTGGGTGTTTGGCATACTCATCCCTATGATGATAATTAATTAATGTTGCTGATGATCGCGACGATGATCACCATCACCAAACACCCTCAAGCATCTTAATGTTTGATTGGTTGGTCGTCGGGTGTCTTCTGCCCACGTGCCTGGCGATGATTATCGCTTTATTGATCGCAGGGCCACTATCTTCGTGGCAGCTCGTGACAGTTGTCGCTTTGGGGGCTCGTGACAGTTGGCAGTTTGGCGGCCTCACACGGATCGGGCGTCCTTCAACCGCGACCATCGTGATAGATGACGGTTTGGGGGCCGGCATGTGCAAAAAGCGTATGCAGTCACACAGATTCGGCTTGGAGAGTGGGGGGGGGATGGGATGGGATACCATTGCAGGGGGGTCGGCGAACCCAAACCGGAGTCACATAATATATATATATATATATATATATATATATATATATATATCGCTGCCGTTGCCGAGCACTCTCAAAAAACTGATTGCAGCGTGTATGTAGTGTATGCCAGATTGGTGCTGTCGTGGCCTTGTTTGCGGGCTCGAAATTGCTGGAGGCAGTACAACCGCCGATTGTCCTGACACAAATTGGCTACAAGTTCCCTACATTCCACCCCCTCTCCTGGATCCGTGGAGTACAGGACGGGGTTGTTAGTATTGTCTGTGTCTTCCAGCACTGTCAGCTTCAATAACCTCGGCAATGCATGGTTCAGCTTTTTCGGGCGGCACGGGCATCACGGCTGCTGGCGCCGGGAAGCTGGTCTTTCAGAGGATCGAACTCTCCCTGCAAGAGGCCAATAATTTTGACAACCACCTATTCGGATTTGATAAGGTTTACAAGGCAATACAGTTTCACAGAGTTGTTAGGGCTTCTGGGGCTAAGGAGCTTGGCTCCTTTGGTTGGGGGCCCTTTCGTCTCCGGCCAGTCTACATCAAGACAAGCCTTGGAATGGTGTAGCTCGTTTTTGGTGGAAGGTTTCGGGCTTGTTTACCAGGCAAAAAAAGCTCTGCGGCTCCTCTTTTTCCATTCACACTGCTGAGCAACCCTCTTGCTCTGGAAGAATGTGAAGAGGAACTAGCTTTAACTCCAAGTGGCGGCACTGTGCCGTCGTGTCGGCCCAAGGCGACCTGCACTCTCAATCACGACGCGGCAAGCGGATACTTAGGGGACTTGGGCACATCGGACCTGCACCACTGACACATTGGAGAAGCGACCCTGGCGAAGGAGGCCCTCAGCATCCTCGAAATGCTTTCCTTGGCGACAGGTCGACGGTTTTTTGGGGAGCTTGGGGTTCTGATTTCATCTTGTGCCACGAATGGAGCCCCAGCATCTGACGGGCTCGACAGCCACGCCACGCAGCTCCCAAGGATTCGTGGGACCACCTTTGCAGCGATTACCCCATCGTTTTGACGTCAGAACCTACACATCACCACACAGGCCTACTTTTGTGACTCTGCACCACCATACTTAGAGGATCATGGGACTTAGTAAGTAGGGTTACAAGTAAAGTAACTACAGTTATAATTACTTATAACCCCAATTCAGGTGCTTATAACCCTACTTACTAAGTCCCATGATCCTCCAAGTACTCGCGAACCCTAAACCCTGAACCCAGACTCGACCCGAGCCTGAAGGATGCTTGGCTTCAGCTGATCACTGCAGGAGGCTCACGATCGACACATGATTGCAAGTTTAGTGTATTGAGGCATGAATAAGTAGCAAGAGCATTTTCTGATTTTGCTATGTAAGTATAGCTTCAGAACCAGTTGTAATGAAAATTGACCTTGCATTAGTCTTTGCAAGGTGTTGGAGCCTCCCCCGTCTCTAACGCGACCTGGGCACTGCAGGCAGAGAGGAGCCACTTGATGTTCACGCTGACCTGTGCGAAGTGTTCTGCAACGCTCGAGTGAAAAGCTCGGGATAGACCACCTCCGCGCATCATGTAAACATAGACGTTCCAAAAAGAGTAATTACCACTAAGGGCAGGTTTCAACAGTGTCTATGGATCCTTTAAAGGAGCCTGTAGAGGGACCCCTATGGATCCCTTGAAGGTACCCTTAAAGGAACCCCTAACAGTACCCGGTCCAAAAGTTGAGGGTGGCAGGGGCTCGACGAGCGTGCCCTTCTGAGTCGCTGAAGCTGCCAACAAACACTTTCAAGCGGGTGGTGAAGAAGATCTGCCGAAACGGATTGCGACTCACCGTCCAGATCTGAACCCAGGTTAAAGCCCTTTCTGAGATCAGAATATAAGGTTTGGGGGCATATTAAAATACTGTGTACTGCGTGTATATACAGATTGTCGGGCATGCTGTCACTGGCCATTCCGACCCATCCCTACAAACAACCCTTGCAAGCCTGACAAAACCCTCTGAAAGCCAGAAAGCCCTAGAAAACCCCATAAAACCTTCCAAAGACAAAAACAGAAAGCACCAAAAAACAGATCGGCACCTCCTGTGCCAGTGCGTAGTTGAGGCTTTAGGGTTGGGGATTCTTTGTCTTTCTTATCCCCTACTCTTAGGGTTTAGGATTTGGGGTTCAGGGTTTACAGCGTTTTTTCGTGCTTCTTGCCGAGTTTAGGGCGCCTCCCCGGGCTGGCCCACAAGCTCGTGGAGGAAGGTTCGATTATCGCCGAGGCCCACCTCCGAAGACCCGGGGTTTAGGGCGTTTAGGGGTTTAAGGGCCTAGGGGTTTAGGGGTTTAGGGGTTTTAGGGGTTTTAGGGGTTTAAGAGGTTTAGGGGTTTAGGGGTTTAAGGGTTTTAGGGGTTTTAGGGGTTTTAGGGGTTTAGGGGTTTAGGGGTTTAGGGGTGTTGGGGGTTTTAGGGGTTTTAGGGGTTTAAGGGTTTTAGGGGTTTTAGGGGTTTTAGGGGTTTTAGGGGTTTAAGAGGTTTAGGGGTTTAGGGGTTTATGGGTTTTAGGGGTTTAAGAGGTTTTAGGGGTTTTAGGGGTTTAAGGGTTTTAGGGGTTTTAGGGGTTTTAGGGGTTTTAGGGGTTTAAGGGTTTTAGGGGTTTTAGGGGTTTTAGGGGTTTTAGGGGTTTAAGAGGTTTAGGGGTTTTAGGGGTTTTAGGGGTTTTAGGGGTTTAAGAGGTTTTAGGGGTTTTAGGGGTTTATGGGTTTTAGGGGTTTAAGAGGTTTTAGGGGTTTTAGGGGTTTAAGGGTTTTAGGGGTTTTAGGGGTTTTAGGGGTTTTAGGGGTTTAAGGGTTTTAGGGGTTTTAGGGGTTTTAGGGGTTTAGGGGTTTAAGGGTTTTAGGGGTTTTAGGGGTTTTAGGGTTTTAGGGGTTTAGAGTTTAGGGGTTTTAGGGGTTTAAGGGTTTTAGGGGTTTTAGGGGTTTTAGGGGTTTAGGGGTTTAAGGGTTTTAGGGGTTTTAGGGGTTTTAGGGGTTTAGGGGTTTAAGGGTTTTAGGGGTTTTAGGGGTTTTAGGGTTCAGGGGTTTAGAGTTTAGGGGTTTTAGGGGTTTGAGGAGTTTTGGTGGATTTAGGGGTTTTAGGGGTACTAGGGGTTTTAGGTTTAGGGGTTTCGGGTTTAGGCGTTTTATTGGTTTGGGATACCCGGAAATCCTGACAAGACCCTATCGAAACCCGATCAAAATCGTATAGAAGCCCTATCAAACCCTTAACAGCAAACCCTATTGTGCCAACCCTACAGGCTAACGCTAACTGTCTCCCTTTATAGTAACCCTAAAACCCTGAACGGGCTCCGAAGGGCTTCGGGTTTTTACAACGGAGCTTTGCAAGAGCTGATTAAGGGTCCTGGAGCTGTTCCAAAAAGGCTCCTTCTTGGGTTTTTGTTTAACCCTCGTGTCTGTTGGTGTCCGCCAGACGTCCAGCTTGGATGAGGGGGTATTGGTGTTTAGGGTTTAGGGTGTTTGCAGTAATGCAGCTGATTGGGTGATGGGGGCAAGTACCAGAAGTGCACTGCATGCCTGCACCACATGCGCCCTCTCGCCGTACGGGTAGTAGCCAGCGCGGTAAGACTGTCCTGCAGGGCAGAGTCTAGTCTTAAGGACCACGCAGGAGCTTCCACACGTTCCACATGCGGTTCAGGGTTTAGGGTCCTTCAAAACTCATCGTTGAAGTGCAGCCGGCATCAAGCGCAGATTCTGCTGACAGAGATTCGTTGCTTCTATGCTGCTGGTGCTGCTAGGACTTGCGGGGCATCACAAGTAAAGGCCGGGAAAACACTCTCCCGGTTTCCACCTCGGGTTCCACCTTGGGCTACTGTTGGCCTGCAGATGCCTTTTGCTGCTGCAGGAAGTAAGCTGCAAAGCTGCACACCCCTGGGAAAGATACGATTATGTTAATTACCGAAACCCCAAGTAACCTACCTTTTTAAGGACTTCTATTAAGAAATCCTATTAGGGGACCCTAAAAAGGTAGGTTCTTTAGGTATAGCATACTATTCTCTATTTGACCATCCTGCCTGGTGCTTTCACTACCTTCTCAAGCCTGTGCAGGCAGAGTCGGTTCGCCGAACCCTGCAGAAAAAGGCTGCAAGGTACAGATGCGAGAATGGGCACAGCAGCTTCCATGCACGAGCTTCTTGAGAAATCCCCACTTAAAGGATCATGGGACTTAGTAAGTAGGGTTATAAGTGAAGTAACTACAGTTATCATTACTTATATAACCCCAATTAAGCTACTTACTAAGTCTCATGATCCTCCAAGCATGCATGCTTCGAGAGAAGCTCCGGAGGAGCCGGGGGGGCACCCTTGATGCGTCGTTGTGATCTTGTCCCGGGGGAGGTGGAGGTTGGCAACTGGTCCACACCTCAGTGTGCCGGGGCTTTGGGACTCAGATCAGACGACAGCACGTGCAGGAGAACCAGCGGTAGTTCGCGATATATCCTCACACCAGAATTCCCGTCACCTGCAAGGTGAGCCCACGAGTCTTGAAAAACGGTCAAGGCTGCAATCGCTACAGCTCACTGCTGTCCACGAGTGCTGCTCGCACATCGCTTCAAACGCTGAGGCCGTGCACTGCACCATGAGCTCCCACAAGACCTCCAAGCTCTGAGCCCTACGCAATGCAATACTCAATACGGTCTGTGACCTGTGTCACCCATACATACATAAATACCGGGTAGGTACGTGCATACGTGCGTACGTATGTTATGCAGGTGTGCTCTTAGATGTCTCTGCAGCGAGCAGCCTCCTCGTCGATCTTGGGGTCCAGATTTCCCACATATATCGTCGCCTGAAAACATGATGCTTTGACAATCAGGCGCAGGAGTCCATATAAACTTTTGAGAAGTCCTGTAGAATTTTGATCGCCACTAAACCCTTTATGAGTCGTTCAACCCTGACCTCGGCGACCCTTGATTCCGCTGCCGCCTCCTGGTTCCTCTCGAAGATCTGCTGAATGCCGCCTGGAGCGGCCGGCGGTTGGGCTGCCATGACCCTGAGACGCAGGGGTAGAGGCGATCAGGCTGAATCAGGCTGAATCTGTAAGAGGAAGTCGTGTAGGTGCTTCTGTAGTTGCCACTATGAAGATAAAGGTAAGGGTCACTGTAAGGGTTACGCCTTCGACATGCTCTGGAACCGAAAGGGAAAGCTGTTGAGCGCTCGCCTTACAACTTTGGGCCAACTATGACCGTCCAAGACATACCACGCTGAACAATCCCGTCATTTCCGCTAGTGACTGCCGCGAGTATACTTGACAATATCTCAATATCAAAGAACATAGTACGACAATATGACAGCGTCTAACGGATGTGGCGCTACATCGGTTTTGGACACTCCACAAACACAGGATGCCCAGAAGTTACGGAGAGCCTAGGCCTAGACTCTTAGACTTTGGGCCCAAATTACCTCTAAGATTTTGGGGGGGTCCTTCATGAAATTATAGTATAATATACCTCGAAACCCTATTCTAATTATTAAGGTCCCGACGTGAGTCCCCCCCCCCTCGCCTCCGCTCGCCTGTACTCGCCAGGCCCCCCAAATGAAACGCTGCGGAGAAAAAGTGGGGAGATCTGTATACGCATGTGGGAGTTTCCGAAACTTAGGGGTACCTTTAAAGGGATCCATAAGGGTTGTTTTAAAGGGATCTATAAGCGTTTCCATAAAGGGTTTGGGGTTTAGAGTTTCCGAAAATTAGCGGTACCTAATTTGGGGGCCCGTACAATAAGGCTCCTACTATTTCGGGTGCTATATTAGGGTCCCCTATTTTCGGAAACTCCCATATAGTGCATCGACAGACGACCCTCTTTTTCTGACCCACACAAACTCAACAGTCAAGCTGCAGCTGGACCGGACGTCCATCGCAAGCAAGTCAACATGATCCCCCACCGGAAAGGCTCTGCCGAAATACCCCGAGGCACACATCACAGGTACACCCTGCCGGCACTGCATGCATATGTTTCCCTCACCGCGCATTCAGAGAGGAACGGATCCTTTCGTAGCTTACGAAGAATGCTGCGCACCAAACCAATTTGCCTCAGCTGGCTGTTAGATCGGTGAGCCGAGCATGACGACTTTCGATTGCGGCTGTCGAGCACCTTTGCATAGGTTGAAAAACCCTATGCGCTACAGCGAGAGCACGGCACGAACGAGCCACGGAGCCCCTCAAACATCCACTTACGACTGAAGAGAATGGTGAGCAACATGACTGCCAGGCGTGTGCAGACAGCGCAAAAGAGCCCGCGACCCCTCAAATACGGTGCATTCAGAGTCTGGCATGCCTTCAGTGCCTATAACAATCCGCTTACAGCCCCTATGTAGCCCAACTAAGCCCCCATATACCCCCGATTCAGTATCGCTTCTGCTGGCGAGTCGCGGATGCAAATGGGCAGGAATCCCTGGAAGCCAACAAGGTCAAGAGACATAAGACCGAGCTGCTTCAGGGTTTGGGGCTGGGGCAGAGGTTGTAGAATTGAGTTTAGGGATTCGGGTTTCAGGCTTCAGGGATGCAGGGTTGGGGCTCATTTTCGCACTCTGTGCGACGGGATCCTGAGATGTGAGCTCAAACCTCTTTGAAGCTGCAAAGCTCAACTCAAACTGGTGGCACCTTGTAAAGTGCGCCGACGCCCTCGTCCAAGAGAATGCGGCTGAAGGCATGGAACATGCCTTCACGATGCCGGGTTAGAGATCAACGTGACTACCTCTACTCGTTAACCGCAAAAAGGACCTTGTAATCTGATGCAGCATGATATCTCGTGCTGCAAGATCTGCCGCGATAACACACAGGTGTATGCGTTGGGGCTTGAGATTAGAAATGGCCCAGGCTTTTTCATGAAAATGTCCGCAACTGTTCATTTACAAGTTTGCGCCTTGAAGCAACAAAATTACCGTTCGGCAGAGATGGTGGGGCTTCCCCTTGACCCTGAAATACCCTGAACTCAGGCTGACAAAGACCATCGATCAAACTTTCGACATGCCAAAAGCACGAGGAGGTTGTCGTCATAGCGAAATGCGATGCGACAACATCTCGTGTCAGCAGTCAGGGAATTCAACATGCCTTATGTAAGATGGCACTGCTTTAACCCTAGTCTTCTTCTTCCCGAACAACAGCAGAAGAGCGAAGCATCCGTTCGGGCCTCGGTATTGCTTCTCACCCCCGGCGCAGTTCCTCGGGCTGCGATCTGTGAAGGCAATGTGAGAAGGCACAGGGCCTGCACCTGTAATCCCGGTTCGCGGTTCATTGAGCCCCTTCTCAACGGATCTACACCCACGCCCCCCACCCCGCCCCCACGTTCACGCCCCAAGTCACACCCACAGGCCCACACCACACAACACTACAGGAGAGTGCAGTCCACCACACGCGATGAGAATACCAAAACCCGCGAAGCATGCCAAACCCCGAACCACAAAACACTGCAGGGGAAAGTGGGCTGCGGAATGTTGTCAGGCGATCCATGCTGTGGTGGGAGCTGGTGGGAGCTTGTGAACTGCTGCCGTGCGTTGTCATTTGCTTCGTCGACCCGCTATACCGCTATCTGGTTACCCTGTTCGCGTTGTGGCGTGCCAGGCGCTGTCACTGCAACGTAAGGTAAGTCTCGACCGCAATGAGTCTAACAGGTGGATAGCATCAGGACCAGCGTCATCAGCCGCGTCTTCACCACATCCGCCGGAGTCGACACGCACGCCGAGGTGAAGCCGGCAATCCCCGAAGCTCCAACCTAGGCCGGGCTAGACAGACGCTGCAGAGTAAAAGCTATCCCATATGGGGGTTTCCGAAAAGAGGGGACCCTACTATACTAGCCTAAATGGTAGGATCCTTTATTTTAAGGACCCCGTATAAGGTACCCCTAATTTTCGGAAACTCCCATATGCCGGTTACCGGACAGGCATGGGAATGCATGATGCAGTGGGGTGCACTCCAGGTCTGCGCGCAGGACTCTGCAAGAAGTTGCAACTGGCGTAGTTGAAGCAGCCTTGCAACTCGTCTCTTGCATGCACTTAATGTTGAAGCATGATTTGGTAGTTTCCGAAATTGGGGGACCCCAATTTAATACTCTAAGTAGTAGGATCCTCGTTGTAAGGACCCCAAAATGCGGTATTGGAAACTCCCACTTCGTGACCTCGATGATCGAGTCGAGGCATCACCGGAGATAGATTCGATCATAGGAAATCTTGGGGGGATAGGGAGGGGGTGGGTAGGGGACTATACTTGCTTAAATCGGCCTTATTAGGTCCTTATTATGGGCATTAAAGCCCCCTCCCCATGATTCGAGCTTGACGCTTCGCTTCTCGCTTCCTGCGCCCAGGCGCGTGTGACAGGAGACCGTCGCCAAAGTGCGGCTTCAGCCGGCTCTTGGCCTGGCGAAAGGGCCCAGGTTTGGGGCTTAGGGTTTCGGATTTAAGGCTTAGGGTTTGGGGTTTAGGGATTAGGGTTTAGGGTCTAGGGATTAGGGATTAGGGTTTAGGGATTAGGGTGTAGGGGGCCCTTCACTACAGAGACTCCAAGAGCCCCTTAATTTGGGGAGTACCTACAGGTTCCTTTCAAGGGATCCTTTGAAGGGCTCCTTTAAGGGGAGCTACAGGGCCCAGAGACCCCAAGAGCCCTTCATTAGGGAATATGCGTTAAATCACACTAGGGATTCTAGTATAATTTAAAGTACATTTTGTAAGTAGGGGGCACTGGAGTCTCTGGGCAACTTCAACAGAGCTTGGGCTCGGGAGCTGCATTCAACGCTTCGGATCTTGCCTTTTCTTGCTGACCTTAGGAAGCGAAAACAGCTGCCTCGTCATAGGTGCCAAGCTCTGCGGCATTGACCAGGAATGTCCGAGCGATATTCGGCCGGACACCTGGCGTCCGGCATGGCTTTTGCTGTGCATCCGTCCCTCTCCGTCCCTCCTCCTCCCCAAAAAAGGCCTGCCCAGAAGCCTGCAATTCCATCCTGCGCAGGGGGTCCGAGGTAAAGCTTGCAGAGACCCTGAGAAGCTCTGGCTTGCAATGCTATGCCACCCAAGGGCCAAGTCGAAAGCTCTTTACGTTCCGAGAGATGAGGAGTCCTGTCCCCAGACGCGCCGCGCAACGACGGCCATGCTCAACCCGCTGCCGGTGTGGGTCCTAGAGATCTTGTCGAGCAAAGGTACGGAAGACAATGAAGGTCTGTTTCGAAGCTCTGCCCTGCTGTGCCGATGCCTAACTCCTGCGAAGCGGCAGCAACCCCGAACACATTGCAGAAAGGCGGCTGCACTTGGGTTTTGATCACCTGCCACAAAATCTCAAGGTTGCGTTATGAGGGGTTCGTTACGTCGGGGCCTTGATCACGAGGGTCCTACCATCGGAAACTCCCGAATCGCTTTGGCATGCACACTCGTCACGAAGCGCCGCTTTAGCAGTCCGCCCCGAATGCGGGTGGCCTCTTCCTCATTTTGCCTTTTTGGCGAATGCCCTTCCTGTTACCTGTTCGCCTTCTTCTTCTTCTTGTTCCTCTGCTTTGCCCTCTTGTATGTCCACCTCTTCTGTCCCATCCTCCTCGTTCTTCTCCTTTTGTTTCTTCTGTTCCCTTTCTCGCTCTTCTCGTTTCTCGTTCTGAATCTGTCTCTTCGTTTTCTCTTCCTCCTTCTGCGCCTTCACCTCTACCTCCGCCTTCGTCCCCTTGAACTAGTGCTCGTCGTTCTCGTTTGGAGTCGTCGGTTTGGGTGATTTTCCTTTGCTTTCATTGGGGCAAGGGCCAGGGGATGCCTGTCTGGTGCCCCGAAACTTTGGCACCCCGTTTGAGCTTTTGCCTGCAGCATCCGTGTATGTTCCGAGGCCCTCCTTTTTCGATTTTTTTTCGGCGGTTTTGCGACCCGTTTCTTACCTTTGGTTAGTAGGGAATGGAAGAATGGTAGTAATATTCGTTATCATTGTACCCCATTCCTCCATTCCCTACTAACCAAAGGTAAGGTTTCTAGACGCAGCCGCACTTGGAAGATCATGGGACTTAGCAAGTGGGGTTATAAGTGCCTTAATTGGGCTTATAAGTAGCAATAGCTGTAGTTACTTTACTTATAAACCTACTTACTAAGTCCCATGATCCTCCTTCTAGAACCCTTATAGATCCCTTAAAGGAACCCTATTATAGAACCCAGAAGTACCCTTAAAAGGATCCCTAAACCCTACTTACTAAGTCCCATGATCCTTTAAGCAACCTCGGCGGGGTTGAACACGGCAATGGCCAGCGCGCCCGCGGTGCCGCCTGCTGCCAGCCGCTGAACGAAGCTGGGGCCTGAATCCAAAGCCAGAGGTTTAGGGTTTAGGGTTTAGGGGTTTAGGGGCTTCGGGGTTTAGGGGTTTAGAGTTTAGGAGTTGTTTCTGCAAGATCTAGGTTCAACACACAATATGACAGCGGCCCTGGCAAGCACTCTAGCATTCCATGGTTGCAGTGATTGCAATGCTGGTGCCGTTCGACTGTGAGAGTGATATCGTCCCGCATCATCGCACATGACGTGTGATGTTTGAGCTGTCGAGCACATGAGCCACATCACAAAATGGAGGCCAGCGACTAACGACTAGTGTGTCCTTTCTTCTGCCGAAATGAGTTGAAACAACACAACATACCCATCCCAGATTAGTAAGCGTGCTTGCAGACTGAACTGGCCCTGCCTCGCGCCGCATCCCCATGCAAGGCCTTCACATAGAACTCCCGGATTGGCTCGTAGATGACCAAAGACCTTGGCCGCTTGAAAGTGAAGGGCTTTTCCTCTGTACGCAGACCACGCCAGGTGGTGGAGGCAGTAGCAGTAGTGGTAGCAGAAGGAGTAAGAGCAGGGGAAGGGTGGGAGTGGGAGTAGCAGTAGTGGGAGGAGTCGTAGGAACAGTGGGAGTAGCAGTAGCAGTGGCAGTGGCAGTAGCAGCAGGAGCAGCAGTAAAAGTATGAAGGGTAGGAGGAGTAGAGGAGGAGGAGGAGGAGCAGTAGAAGGAGGAGGAGTGATAGTTTAATACGAGGGTCACGAGTAGTCGTCGTCATCGTCGCGGATTGGACTTGTCAAAATTACCAGCACGCCCAGGCTTGAACTCAACACTTCCAGCTTCCGAGCGATGTATCGTCATCAAAGCTGCTAGCATTGAGAACCACGCTCCTGTCAACGGCTTGGCCTTGTTACTCATGACGTTGACACCACGTTTCGTTTTGCCGGAATTCACTCTCGCATGGAAACGGCGCATATGGGAGTTTCCCCAAATAGGGGACCCTAAAATGGTACCCTAAAGTAGGATCCTAATTATAAGGACCCCCAAATAAGGGTACCCCTAATTTTCGGAAACTCCCATATTGAGGACACATGAAGTAACGAGTCTCCAAGGGGCAGAGACGTGTAGGAGATCTGTCGCAGAAGCGCCGGAGCAAGCCCTTTCCAGAGCGCAGTGGGGCCCTCTTGCCTGCAAAAGGCTGCGGCCGTTGAGGATGTTCGCAAAAAAAGAATATATATATATATATATATATATATGTGTGTGTGTGTGTGCGCGTGTATGTAAAAATCTGTGCACATGTATGTATGTGTGTGTATATATATATATATATATTTCATCAAACTCAGCAAGGCGGCGCTGCTGAGCTGAGGCACGCTTTTTCTACCTCAAATTGGCGCCCTGCAAGGTGAGCCGAAAGCAATCGGCATGGAAGACGTGGCACGCTTCTCTGCTAGCATGCCGGTGGAATTTCACCCGTCCTCGGCTCGCACTTGCTTGGCGGCCTTTCGCGAATGCCTTCCCGCACGGATCAGGAGCTTTCGCTCTCTGGCCGCGTCCGAAGGCTCGAGCTGCCATACGCCTTGGGCGAGGGCTTGCAAAAGGGGCTCCCTATCGCAGTTCTCCTTCGTCAGCAGATCTGCAAGCATCTGCGAGGTATCCACCCACGTAGCGAAGCCGGGGGCATCATCATCATAGTTGTTCTCCCCGATCATTTCCCGGGCTTGGGCAATGAGGATTCTCACTCTCTTGTCCTGGGGCTGGCCGGCGTCCTTGTTCAAGGTCTGCTCGAGAGAGCGCGCGTCCGTGAAGCAGGCAATCTTCTTCTTCACGTAGTGCTGGTCCAGGTCCCGGACGGTCACGTCGGGGTGGTTGATCTCCAGGAGAAGGGAGCGAATATATTCCGCTGCCGCTGCGCCGCTCAGGAAGCCGTTCGCCTCGGCAGCCAAGGTGCACGCGTTTTATACTCCCAGAGAAGGCCTCTACGACGTAGATCGGCACGGGCCCTCCATTCACGATGTCGGGGCTAGTGAGCCCAGCCACGTAGCCGCACTGACTCTTTGAACCATCCACGTTGGCAAAGCTGCTGTCTGCAAAGACGAAGGCGACGGCGTCCTTAAGCTTGAGGTCGCTCTTCCTGAAACACCACTTTGCCTCGGAGGTGTCCTTGAGCATCTTCACGGCACGGTTCAAGCGAACTACATCGCTGACCTTGGGGCTGCTCACGGACTGGGCGGCCAGACTCACATTCACGAGCAGGTCCGGCCTTGACTGCCGGGTCACCCAGCCCATCTGCCCGATGAGCCCTCTGAAGGCAGTCTTCTCTGGCTCCGTCAGGGGGCTATTGACGTTCTTGCGGCGGTCGGTCGGGAGAACCATGTAGTCGATCCCCTCGATGGCGTCCATCTGGTCGATAAAGATCTCGCCGTCGACCTGTTTTATGTTCTTCCTGCAGAACCGAAAGGCACCTCTCTTGATCGTCAGGTGCAGCTCGCCCTCTAACTTGGTGAGCGTGTCCTCGTAGGCCTTGCCTTCTCCTGCGCTGTAGAGGTCATCAACGTGGGAGATCATTACCCCCAACAAGCGCGGGCCGTCGGCCAGGATGAAGAAGGCGGCCTCGATGCGGGACATCCTCCACCCGTGGTCCAAAAGGGAACGGTAGAGTTTCTTCCACCATTGCCGGCCGGCGTCGCGGGTCCCATAGATAGACCCTTTTGCTCTGAGAAGGTCGTTCGGCCCGAGCCCTGGTGGTGGTGGCCTGGGTGCCCTTGGCACCAAAAGCCTGCTGATCCCCTGAGACTGGAGGTAGGCCGTTGAGGCATCACTGGCAGCCACCTCCCAACCGTTCATCACAGCCACGGCGCAAAGGAGATTGAAGGCGAGGAGGCTTGCGGTGGGGCTGTCTGAGCGTATGTCGCGGGAGTCCTCCTGACACCCTTGCACCACAAGCCGGGACTTGGCTGCGAATGGGTACTCCTTGAGTACCTGCTCCTTGCTTTTGCCGGTTTTCCCCCGAACGTGTAGAGCAAGGAGCCTCTGCTTTTGGTTCTTGTCGGTGTGAACCCAGCGCGTTCCAATGATGCGCACATCGCCCGGCAGCTGCGCAACCTGGTCGGGCGTCAGGACCTCCACTGCGTTGAACTTCTCCCAGGAGGCCCACTCTTTGGCCATAGAGGCCTCGAACTTCTTCTTCTCCTCGGGGTTCAGGTCCTTGAGCTTGATCTCCGAGCGGACGGCCTTGCCCGTCAAGAAGATGTCGGCCGGAGTGAGGTCGGCGAACATGCTCTCATAATCCTCCTCGTCGGTGGTGTCCGGCTCGTACTCTTCCTCTCCATCCACCATTCTCCGCAAACGCTGCTCTCGGACTGTATGGGAGACTGGTGGGAATTCCCAGGACAGCGCCTCCGCGAAGTATGGTCGCGAGCTCTCCGGCCGAGACCCACGGGACGGCCTGTAGCCATCTAAGCGGTCAGGATCTCGAAACATATTGATGGGAGCTGGTGGTACATGTGGTTGTTCGCTCGGTGCTGGAGCTGGTGCGACCAGGGGTGTACTAGGCATTATTGGCTCTGGCTCAACGGATGACACTGTGGAGGCTTGCCTGTCCATGTTGGCGTCTGTGCCTGGTGCCCCTTCGCCCGTCCTTGGATTCTGCCGTGGTTCAAGCGGTGCTTCTAGGCCTGGTGCCTGTGCCCCTTCGCCCGTCCTTGGATTCTGCGGTGGTTCCAGAGGTGCTTCCTGGCCGGGCTCTGCGTCAAGTAGCCCTTCGTCGTCCTCGGGAACAGGAGGTAGTAGGTCGGGCGTAACCACAATGTCCGTGCCGGGCACCAGTGCTGAAGGTGGCGGTCTCGCGGAGCTCCCGGTTGCAGCCGGCATGGGTGCCGTACTCGTTCTCAAGGGGGCTGGTGTCGCGGTCGGAAGTTCAGGCATCGCCGCGGGTACCCTTGTCGCCGGCAAGCGCAGGTCCATGTACCCCTTTGCTCCCCGTGCGTAGGCAGGCGCCATGGTTTGTTCAGGTACCGAGTGGGCAGCCAAGAGCTCATCTTCGCTCGCAAAGCGCAGTTGCTCACCAGTGACCAGGATCACGCTCGCGCCGTACCGGAGCCAGTAGGAGTGAGGTTGCCCGCCGTCAGTTGGCGGATCCGGGTGTTCCAGCCGGCGTTGGTTGCGAATCTCGACGCCAATGACCCGGGCTGGTCCATGCCAGCGGTAGGTCCTGGAAGCGCCTGGCGGGATCTGAGCCCGGTAAAAGTAGACGTAGCTCCCGACTGGAAAAGGACCTCGTGTAGGAGCCGCCTGGTGCAAAAGGGCGCGGCGAACTCGGCCATCATTGTCGAGTCTGATCTGGGCCACCCTTGCTGCCTCTCGCATTCCCAAGCTTCTTGCCATTTTTGAGCTTGGGTCCTCGGCTGCCTCGAGGATCTCTAGGCGTTCTTGTTCCCCTTCTTGAAGAAGGCTGCCGGGAAGCTTGGTGTCGGGGCGGCCAAGGACCCTCTGTACTGGGGCGTAACCGGAGCTTCTCGGAAAGCTGTTGCGGACCTGTGTGACGATCGCGGTGGCCACGGTCATGTCGCGGAGGCCGCTCACTTGCATCTCCAGGACGACCTTGCTGAGGACATCCTTCCACAAGCCGCCGGCCTTCTCGACCTTGCCGTTCTTCCAGGGTGCCTCCAAAGGCATAACCTCTTGCTCCACCCCAAATCTCTTAAGGTAGGCAGCAAAAGAACCCATGAACTCCTTGCCGCGGTCGACCTGGAGGCTTCCCGGTAGTCCTGCCCAGTTTGACCAGGACGTCAAGAAGTGGCGGAGGACGGCTGTAGATGCCGGCGGTCCTTGCGACGTTCCCATGCAAGACACAACTTGAAACCCAGTGGCCTCACACACAATGTTGAGAAAGCTAAAGAGCACGCCGTTGATGTCCTTGGCGTAGAAAACGTCGACCTGCACGTGGGCATTGAACTCGTACTTGCCAGGGAGACGGACCGGCTTGGGTCGTCGGTTGCGGTGTGACTCTCCGCAGGCATCGCAAGCGAGGTAGTCGACTCCCTTTATGGCTGCTGGCTGGGCACCCTGCCTCCGAAGTATCCGCTGGAGGGTCGTGTTGGTGGGGTGCCCGAACTGCACATGGAGCTGCCTGAGGATTTTTCGCAGCTCGGGGTCCAGGTCCAGCCATCGCCGTCTCCTCTCCGACTCGGTCATGCTCAAGACGGGGTTGAGCTGGTCAGCCATGATCGCCCGGTGCGAGGCATCGTCGCCATTGGCCGCATACCGCAGGTGTTCGGCACCGGTGGGTTCCTCAATGAGCTCGGCCAGGGTGCGGTCCGTGGCGTCGTCAGGGGCGATCGGCTCAACGTCGCCGGGGCGGATGTAGACCGGAGGGGCGTTGAATTGCTCCGTCAAGGTGGCGACCCGTCCTTTCTTACGCTTCCTCAGCATCCGAAGGGACGCGGGCTCCAAAGGAAAGGCCTCTTTGACCTCCTCGACGGCTGTCTCCTCGACAACGGCTTGCTGCACGACTGCCTCCAGGATGGCCTCGTGAAGGCCGCGGTCCTCAAGCCAATGTCCCTTCTTGGGGTTCCAGCCCTGCAGCGCGCTCTCCACAGTCACGAGGGAAGTAAGGAAGCTCAGGCCGTACTCGCCGCCAGCCTCGAAAGCAATGAGGTCGCCAGCTTCCAGCATCTTGTAAATCTCCTCGTCTTGCGGGCCGGCTGTGTAGCCCCACTGCTTGGGACACACCAGAGCCACATGCCTCCTTGACTTGATGCGGGAGGTAAGGAGCTTCTCCACGAAGGCGGTCTGCTTGTCGTGGTTCTCGTGGCTGTCCTTGGGAAAGAAAACGGTCTTGCTGCCAGGCCGTGTCGCAGAGAAGGGGAGCGGCAAGCATGCTACCGTGACGTAGGGGTCCTCGATCTGGAAGTCGTGGTGGATCTGACGCTTTGCCCTGTGGTTAAAGACGTCCCCCGTCGCGGTGTTATGGGGCATTGTGGCCACGGCCATGCCTGCCAAAACGCAGAGGAGGCTCAGCCCGGCCCCCATTCCCCACAGTTGTTTGACCCAAGTGCGACCCACACGGGGCTTGTTGGGCACCTGGGCCTTTCCAGAGAGGGCACGCCTGAAGACGAAGTCATCGCTATCCACCGCCGAGGCCAGCCCTTCAAGCCTCTTTCCTTTCTTGTTGGTCGCCCTCCGGAAGGCCTGTGGGGTGAGAACCATGGCCTCCTCGAAGTAGGCCACGTCCTCGGTGACGTCCTCTAGGAAGAGCCCGTCCTGGCCGTTGCGCTGCTCCTCCTCCCAGTTTTCCACATCTTGCCGTAACAAGCGGAGGTGGTCAAGATGGTCGCTCCAATCGTCGGGGTTCCATCCTTCGGGAACTGGCGGATCGTCTCCATCTCCTCCTCCAAGGCATAGGTCTTGCATCCGGTAGATCTCTTCCTGTGTCATGTAGCCTTGGTTGGGGGAGTCGCTCTCGCCGCCGGCCGTGGTTGCCAAAGTGGCTTCGCCGGCAGTGGTTGTGACTAGGGTCCAGTCCTGTTCTCTCGCGGTGTCGTTCTCGGTGGGGGCCTCTTGCTCGGAAGTCTCAGTCAGGCCGTCGTGGTTGAAGTCAAGAAGGTCCACGGCAAGGTGGCCGCGAGAGGTCTTCACGAGCGGGAGGTCCTCCACGCCAAGGGCCGTAAAGCTGACGGTCCCCCGGCCAATGTCCATGACGGTGCCCATCTCCTCCATGAAGGGGCGCGAGAGCAGAAGCGGCAGGGGTCCCGGAGCCTCTGAGCTGCACATCTCGCCGTGTACCTTGGCAAGGCCGACGGGGTAGACCTTCACCACTTCGCTCCGGATCTGGCCCCCGACCCCCTTGAACACTTGCGTCTTGGCCTTCGTCTCAAAGGTGAGGCCCAGTCGGGTGAGCTCGGCCTCAAAGCGTCTTGCCCAGGCTTCGCCGTGCATCGTCTTGGTGCACCCGCTGTCCAAGATGGCCAGCCCAGGCGGATCGAGCTCAGACGCCACGTAGGAGCAGGGAACGACGTCGTCACCGGAAGCGTCGCCAGAGGAGCTCGGACCAACCATCATGACGTCGCAGTCCTGCTCCGTGGTAATGTCGAGGCGGTGCTGGTCCATGGCGGCGGGAACGCGTATCTGCCTTGAAGAGACCATGTCGAAGGGGCGGTGCACCCGCTTCCTCGGGTCCTGGCCGGCACCTTGCATCCGCACGACCGCCTCCTTTACCATAGTCAAGCGGCCGTACAAGTAGAACCCGAAGGCGTATATGTCGGGACGCATGGGATGGTTGCCGAGGGCGAAGCCGACCACCTGGGAGCACCACCAAGAGCACTCCGAAGAAGAAGCCACGTCGGCATAGTACCTGCCAGCAAACGGAGTCGAGGCACCAAGAATGTGGTCATCGGCGGGGATCGCCTGCAGGATGTCGAGGTCCTCGGCGGCCAGCTGTGGAAAGGGGGGCAGGTCCAAGGTTGCCGAGATACAAACGCCATAGACCCAAATGCGCGCACGATCCTTGCCACCGGCGGGTTGGCGGATGCTGTCGAGGGTAGCGAGGAAGGTGTCGAGTAGCCGGGGTTGTCGTTGACTACGGTCCAAGAAGGAGGTGGCGAGGTGAAGGCCGGCTCCTGGCTACCTTGCGGCAGTGTGCTCGGGTGACCCATCTGGAGGCGAACCTGAAAGGTCGCCGGGGGAGGCTTCTTGGCCTCTGCGGCTTCGAGCTCGGCGCGGTGCAGGGTCTGAAGCCACACGCGGTGCCGGGCCTTCTTTCCCCACTTTGTCCCCAAAGCGACCAAGGTGAGGAACTTCCATAGCTCCACCGGCTCCTTTCTTCGTGCCTGGATGACCGTCCGGTCGCAATCATCCTCCTTGCAAAGCACCTGTCTCACATGGCCGTTGGCTGAACGGTGGAACTTCTTCTCTTCGCCTCCGTTGTAGCTTGCGTGGTGGCACAGTTCTTCGGCACGGAGCACCATGAACGCCTCAGGTTCGGCACCGTTAAGCTCGAACAGGTTGGAGAAGACGCCGAACTTGGTGGTCTGCGCCGGGAGAACGTCCATGATGAAGACCTCGGCCTCCGGGTCCGCGTCGTCCGTGCCGTCCACGAAGAAGGTGGAGGAGGCGGCCGTCTTCTTCTTGGCGAACGGCCGCTTCTTAGGAGAGGCGCTCTGGCCCCCTTTTCCGCTCTTGCGGGGCTGTTGGCACTCAGGATCGCCCGCCCAATGCCCGTTCAGCCCGCAGGCCGTGCAAGGGGTAACTGTTTTCAAGAACTTGACGGCATTGCGGCGGGTCTCCTTGGCCTTCTGGTCCAGCGTCATCTCGCCCTTGGCCCGGAACGGAAAGCTCTGTGGGGCACCCTTGGCGCCCGAATGCCCACCAGAGCCCTTGCGCTTCTGAAGCACGGTGGCCAGCGCTTCTGCCAGCTCCTGGTCCTCGAAGTCCATGTCCTGAACCATGGCCTCCAGGGGGTCGTCGTCGGTTGCCTCTCCGCCCTCAAAGGCCTCCTCGTCGTACTCCTGGTCGCCCTCGTCGGCGTACACCTCGTCGGGGTCGACCTCGTCCTCCTCGACGGCCAGGGCGTAGCCTCGCCCTTTTCCCTTTGGCGCGCGGTTTCCAAAGGAGCGCGGCCGGTTCTTGGCGGGAAGCATGGTGGAGGCAGCCTGCGAGCGGGAGCTGCCCAAGTAGTCACGCCGAAACACCGGCTTTCCCGAGCACGTGGGGTACTGGATCCTCAGTGCGTGGCCGATCTTCTTGAAGTCGTACTCGTTGTTCACCGAGGCCAGCACGTTGAGCTGCTCGCGGCTGTCCAAGCCGCCGAACGCCAGCAGCATCATCGCCCGGATGTGGTCCGGAATCTTCGCCCCAGCGAGCACTTCCTCCAGCCTCTTGAAGTCTTGCTCGCGCCTCAAGATATACTGCTGCATGGTCTCGGCCTGCATGCGCCACACGTGGGGGCTGTAGAAGGCCTGGAAGAACAGCTCGTTGGTCTTCACCGGGGCCTCCTGCTCGATGTTGTCCTTCAGGGTCTGCAGCAAGAGGCGGAGTCCCTTATCCGTGGGCTTGCCGTCGGAGCCCTTCGTGATAAGGCCGCAGAGTAGGCTGCAGCTGTCAGCCCGGACCTCAGGTGGACCGGAGTGGCCCCTTGATGATCGGAGCCTTCCCTGCCATACCATAGGTCCCAGCACCTCTCAGCATACTCTTCGTACAGCTCGGGCTCACCACCATACTGTGGAACACCAAAGCGATCGACGTCAAGTCGAGCCATCGCTGTGTCTGCCCAGGCGCCGGCACAAAGGCGGGCGCGGAGAAATGTCGGCCTGGTGGTAGCCAGACCTCGCGGTATCGGGCTCGCAGCGCAGCGCAGTCGGCGCTGTAGCGGAGAAGGCCCTGCTCACGGCAGAGCTCCGCTTACCATCAAACTCAGCAAGGCGGCGCTGCTGAGCTGAGGCACGCTTTTTCTACCTCAAAAGGGCGCCCTGCAAGGTGAGCCGAAAGCAATCGGCATGGAAGACGTGGCACGCTTCTCTGCTAGCATGCCGGTGGAATTTCATTTCATATATATATATATATATATAATATTTCATATATATATATATATATATACATATACATATATATATATATATATATATATTGTGTTGGTACATATATATGTATAGACACATACGAGACATGGCTGGCAGCGGCTCAAGGAAAATCTCTACAGCCTCAGCGTCAGGCAACTGGTCCCAGACTGAATCTGTTCAAATGCAGGTCCTCGGGCCTTGCTGTCTGGAGGAGACAGTCCAGGAATCCTGCGTACTTGCCGGACTGCTGCACCTGCAGGTTTAGGGTTTAGGATTTAGGGTTTAGGGTTTAGGGGTTTAGGGTTTAGGGTTTAGGGTTTAGAGTTTAGGATTTAGGGTTTGCCGTAGAGTGGCGCGTAAGCGGAAGTATCTTGCGACAGTGTAATTTCGAGTGCGTCGTCCTTTGACGATTGGCCGCTGGAGCCTGATTATGGATGGGTTCTTTCTTTTAACTCTCCCACCCCACGTGTTTTAAGGCGGCCATACCACCCAAGCCTATTCGTTTAGGGTTCCGAACCTAAACTTATTCTATGGCTTTCTCTATTTCTTTAGAACAAGCCCACACAAAGAAAGAGGGGGACCTCGACTTTGGCACCTGGCCCTAATCAAAATGCACATTTTATGAACGGAATTTAGAAAGCAAAAACCAGAACCAGTTTTCCACATTTCCGGAAGATCCGGCAGGGGGCGGGGGGGCCAGGAAGGCCAGGGGCGGCCAGGGGGGCCAGGACCAGGGATCCCAAAAGTTTTTTTCTTGCTGAAAACCCTAAAAAGTGCAGTTGTGTCCAAGTGCCTTCTAGGACCGGCCTGGAGACCCCTAGGCCCTTGAATTGTGCTCGCTGGAGGCCCCAGGCCCCCTGGAGGTCCCTTTTTGAGGAGAACTCGGTACCAGGTGCTACCGTCTTGGGTCGGTCTGCGCCATCGAGGTCAAGCGCCGCGGTGGGTGGCCTATGCCATGAGTTTAGGGTTTCGAGTTTAGGGTTTAGGTTTAGGGTTCACACTGAAAGCCTCGTAGAATTCGCGGATGCAGCTACACTCCCAGCCAAGGATGCGACATGCACTGCTTGACACTGCCCTCGGACATCCGGTTTGAAGCCTTTGTGCAGATTCTGCGGATGACGCCTGAAGGCGAACCTTGACGACATCTGTTGGTAGGGTGACCTGGCAGACGCTTCAACAATTCACAAAACGCATGAGCTTGCAACGCACGAGCTTCCGGACCAAAGTGAGAAACCAAACTCCACAAATCGCCGGCAGAGCCGTTTCGGCAATTGTGGCGCCGAAGGCAGAAGCCACGAATCGCGCGAAGGCGTCGCTCATGACCCTACAAAATGCCGAGAAGTAGTGAGTCACCCTTCGCAGCAAGTGGCCAAGTATTGAACTGATGGACCTTGCCTTGCACATCTGTACTGCTACCTGCTGGTCTTATCAAAATCTATCAAAGCCGTGGCTTAAAAGAAAAAACGCACAGGAGACAATGTCCACAAACAACCGAAAGCTTCAGTTGCCACACCCATGTTGGATGTTCAGAGCCAGATAAAACCACGCAGCACTTTGTGTTTCCAAATTCGGCAGCTCAAACCACAGATCGCAACAAACAACGCAGGATCGATACCACCCAAGCCAGAGAAAAGTCTTAGACTGCATGCCTTCAAAAGTCTCTGCCGATTCCTGGACTGTCCTTCAGGCTGTCCCTATACAAAACCCTCCTTAGAACGACAATTACAAAATGTGTTTTGATATTTCTCTTGAGTTTTATATAAACAACAACAAAAAATTATTCCTAAAGAAACTATACTATACACAACCACCCTTGGTCAGTTTTGCACACCTGCCTCGTGCAAACACTCTGAGGAACAGTACTGGCACAGGGTGAATGTGCGCCCATCAAGTGCCAGAAATTTGAAGGATTTGCTTTGCTCCAGGCGCGGCACCAGAAACACTCACAGCTCAAGCTTCAAAAGCCTGTGCTGCGACAACCAGCACCGCATAGCAAAGCACCTCTCGAGAATAGCAAGGGCCACTAAGATCCCGAAATGAACGAAGCCGACAAATGGAGCCGTCGTGCTCTTTCAAAGATCAAGAAATAGTTCGAGGGGCCATTATCTGCATGAGGTCTGTTGACCGGACTCTTACTTCCCTTATGCGTTTTTCAAGCAGAGCACTAAGCTCCATGCTGAGATTGCTGGTTTCAGCCTTCGGCATGCAAGAAGCAGCAGCTTCATCAAATCATTCAGAGGCCGTGCCACAGCCTCTGTGACAGCACCGCCGGCCGTGCAGGCACGGCGAATTATTGCAAGCCTGTCACGTGAAAGATCTTCCCGAAACCCCGACCCCCTGAAACCTACGTGTTCTGTGCTGCATCTGTGGCCACGACCAAACAAGCACCAAGCATCACAGTACATGGACTAACAGGAACATCAGTTGCAATCAGCCCTTTCATGATGAACACCTTCGAACTCGAACCTTTCCGGAGTTAAAGTGTCGTTACACTGCCACGCAGCCCTCATCCTCTCCCTTTGAGAGGTTTATGGTAGGGCCTATTAACGCAAAGATACGGATACACAAACAACATCACTCGATCAAGAAAACGTGCTGAACCTTAAAATACAATATTGTATCATACTGGAAGTTTTTATATAATGTAGAACGTTATATTAGAATAGTTTAGCATTGTAATACAGTCAAATCCAGAGTCTTTCAGTGACTTCCAGCTGACAAAAAGCCGCCTGGCGGTCAGCGACCAAACAGGGCCGCAAGCCGCAAGAAGGGACTCTGCACCAGCTGCAGCATGCCACAGGATGCCCGAAGCAGACGGAAACTTACATCTCTTGTATTGTGTATGCTGTTCATGCGCACTATGCCACGACATCATATCAAATCATGTCATACGGTGCCATAGCATGTCCTACTGCATCATATCATCTCATGTCATACCATAGCATATCAAAACATATGCTAACATGTCATGCCATATGCGCAACATGACGCAATGCAACATAGTAAGAAATGAAACAACACCACAAGAACAAAGGCACTATATGCACTAAAAAGGAATACATTGTGAAGGTTAGTTGAATATGACTAGCGAGAGTTACATAGAGTTGAAGCACAAATTAGGACATGCATGAACAGGACTATATCAAACTAAAGACAATCGAACAAAAATGGATGCAGGTAAACATAACTGTTTACCATATGCTACAGCACACTGTGTAATGTAATAAACTACAATACAACACAATACACTAGTTTCAGTACAGTACAGAGCAGAAAGCAGTCAGATTTTGTAACATGATACGATGTACTATGAGGTATTAAGTTGTGATATAACACAACGAAATATGCTGCAACATCACAACATCACACAGCTTGACAGAGCATGATATAATGTAGCATGATACGGTCTTATAAGACACGATATCAATGCGGAAGAAGAATGCTATGATACATAGTTGTTTGCTGCACATGGATGTTTACTGTGATGCACAGTACAATATAGTAGCATGCAGCAAGAAGCAAAATCAAGTCATATCATGCACGGTTTAAATATGATACAGCCACAGTATCAATATTATACCAGCAGAGAATGCGGAGCAGCACAAGATGTCTAACCATGAATCTCTAATGCAAGACAATACACCACAGTGCAATACCGTGTAACGTAGTACGACAGGGTTAACAACAGTGAAAACAGACTACAAGACATATCATACATGATAAGTCGCATAGAAAAAGCAAGGGAAAAGGAGCTGAACACGCTCCAACTCCAACGGGCTTTCCCTGCATGCCAGGCATTTGCACACTCCTATGTCTATGTTCAGTCGAAGGAAGCCTGGCTTGCAAAAGCCGGGGCTTCTCTGCGCCACCGACCCTTCTCACAAAAGCTCGAAGGTCTAAGCATCCGAGCAGGATTCCTCCGACTCTCCAGGCCGAAGTTTGGCTGAGAGTACTAATAGGATCGCCGTGGGTCTCCTAGGCTCTGAGTACGGCTTTTCTTTCATTGTTTAGGGTTTAGGGTCTCTAAGACTCTCCGACCCACGGCACCTTGCCAAGCCAAACTGCAAGGCTTCCAGCTGCAGGAAGCGAGTTCCGGAGCGCCTCATACGAGTACTTCATGAGGGTTCAGGGTTGGGGTTCGGCAGGGAAGCACTCACATGCTTTTGATAGCCCTGAACCCTCAAAGCAGCGAAGGTTCTTGGCTGGTATTCCTGGCATCCGCAACTCGCCACTAGAAACTGCACCGAAATCAAACAGGGGTCCACAAGCGCCGTCAACTGAAAACGGAGTTTCCGAAAATTAGGTGTACCTTATTTTGGAGTACTACGAAAAAGATCCTACTATTTAGGGCACTAAATTAGGGTTTCCAATTTTCGGAAACTCCCATGTGGGCAGCAGATGGAAGTCACTACATCGGAAGAGCAGCTTAGGTTTAGGGCTTAGGGTTTAGTGCTATGTTTAGCAGCAGGATTCTGCTGCTCAGTGGCTGATGCAGCTGCACCTATCGCCTACACTTCCAATCCTTTTGTCTCCCTGTATCTTTCTCTTTCCCTCGGTACGGTTGATGATATAAATCCTGCATTACCCATAGTGAGGAATATACCATAATTCCCATAGTTTAGGGTCCTTAAGGTAATGCAGGATTTATATCATCAACAGTATCTGTTACTCGCGTTCCTTCCATCCAGCTAAGCCTTGGGGAAGTCCTCAGAGCGCGTCTTTCCTCCCACAACTCATGCTACTTGGAGGATCATGGGACTTAGCAAGTAGGGTTATAAGTACCCTAACTGGGGTTATAAGTAATTATAGCTGTAGTTATTTTACTTATAACCCTACTTACTAAGTCCCATGATCCTTTAAGTAATCTCTGTTGCTCCCACTGGCTGCTCTCCCACTCTCTCCCTCTCTCTCCCCAGCCCAGAAAGGTTTCAATCCACTGACTTGCTGTGTACGTAGCTGCTATTTGCCGTGTAGCTGCTTGTGGAACTCTGTTGAACGAGCAGTGCCAGTAGGCACGCAATGGCATGCACATGCAAATTGCCTCTGACACCACAACCAGAGCCACACGGTCTCGGTTCGGAATCAACAAGAAAGCGCTGCTATCCTGCTCGGCAAGGTACACATATGATTAGAACAAACTTTTGGCTGAACTAGTCATTACACAGAATATGCTGGACCCTTTCATGCAACATTACGATCCGCCTGCGGAAGGCTCGGCTGCAGTTTGAGGTCCAGTACCAAAATATGACCCCAGCGCCGTTTCGACTGCCCGGAGCTGCCGAATGCGCACAAGTGCGCCCGGCCGTGTCGGCTCGGGCAGCCGTCCAGCTATGATCTCTGATTACTACAGCCCCACTCTCTTCTGGCAAGGATGGCTCACAGACGACAGAAGATGCCTATTCCAGGTGGCTTCTTTGAATTCGGGGCACCGTAGGAGTCGGCATAGTATCTGGGGTCCTTATAGCATAGTATAGGGGGCCCATCATACCATAACTCTAACAAACAACCCCCAACATAGTACAGGTACTTATCAAGGCCCCTTTCTTAGCTCGAAGTTTCGCTGTCGTTCTGGCACAACCCTTGCCAGCGAGCTATCATCGAGCAGCGCGCAAGAACCTGGCTCGGGACAACACTTCTCCTAGGCTGAGGGCCTATGGGCAGAGGGCGACTACCAGGACTGCTGCAATGGATGCTCTAAGGCTACAAGGATCACTCTAGGGGCTCGAGTCTAGGGTTTAGAGGTTTGCAAATAATTCGATCATTGCAAACATGGCTCAGGTATCGCCCAGAATACGGCATCCCAGCCCTGCGATTTCAGAACAGGCCTGTGCTCCTGCTGGCACATTTAATTTAAGAGAGGGACTGTGGATCTCAAGATCGCTTCCCACAACATCTACCGAGACTTGGGAGTTGTCGAGACTTAGAGGTGCCTTGAAAGGGATCCTTCAAGGGCTCCTTAAAGGGATCTATAAGGGTTCTGTAAAGGGTGGTTTAGAGGTTCCGAAAAAAGGGGACCTTATTGTGGAGTCCTTATAATTAGGTCAATTAGGTCCTATTGAGGGTACTATATTAGGGTCCCCTATTTTCGGAAACTCCCACTTGTGGCCAGCGCTCTAAGATGGAGCCAAAAAATGTTGGAGGAGCCTTCTGCCGACACAAGCGCTCATTTAACAAATCGCGTGCTTCATGCATCCACAGCTTGACTTTCACAAAAGGTCCCGAACCCAAGCAATGCTAATATTGCCACTAGTTCTACTACAACTATGATTATTATTACTCCTACACCCTACCTCAACCCTGAATAACCTACCTGTTCAGGGTTCCTGATTATGATTTCTTTACCTAAAAATGCAGGTTCTTCGGGGTTCAGGTACACCCTAAAAGCCCTGAATCCGAATCCATGGCGATGGATTCGCTGCTTTGCCGTCCACTAACCCGAGGCGGCCTCGCAACAGCTGCCGGCGCCTAGAGAATCCTTGGGCTCATGATGGGTTTAGGGTTTGGAGTTTAGAGTTTAATCCTTGGGCTCATGATGGAGGGTTTGGGGTTTAGAGTTTAATCCTTGGGCTCATGATGGGGGGTTTGGGGTTTAGAGTTTAATCCTTGGGCTCATGATGGGGGGTTTGGGTTTTAGAGTTTAATCCTTGAGCTCATGATGGGGGGTTTGGGGTTTAGAGTTTAATCCTTGGGCTCATGATGGGTTTAGGGTTTAAGGTTTAGGGTTTAATCCTTGGGCTCATGATGGGTTTAGGGTTTGGGGTATTTTTTGAACGCCTTTTTGCTCTCGCCCGTTAGGTTGATTAGAATCCACATTGTGGGTTTAGGGTTGAGGGTTTAGGTATGTAATGCAGAAACCTGGTTAAGAAACCCTGGGCCTATAACCCCAAAATAAGAGGATCCATGCAAGGAACCCGAATAAAGGCCCAGGGTTTCTCAATCAAGTTCCTACATTATGGCTTGGGGCCTCTTAGATTTCCTTTAAAGGGGGTCTACAAGGGTTAGTATAAGGGATCTATGGGGGGCCTTTTCTGTAGCGGCCTTAATACTTAGAATAGGGTTCCTTTAAATGGGTCTATAAGGGCTACTACAAGGGATATTGTAAGGATTTAATAGTGTAGGGGCCTTCATAATTAAACGACGGCTTTAAGAGACATCTTACTAAGGACTATGAGGTAAAGGTGGCCAGGCTGGTCACGTAGAATCCAAGGGTAAAAGGAGAGACCCTCAATAAGGACCCTTAAGTATATACCCTTAATATGCCTATTATATACCCATTATATAGCCCATTAGAGGCTAGGGGTCCCCATTAAGGGTCCCTCCTATTCTCCTGTGATAGAAGGGATCAGGCAAAGCCTTGCAGCGGCATGCAAGGTGCAAAATTCATGTTCGCTTCCGTTGTTCTTGCTGTATCGGCTGAAGGTTTACAGCACTCCTTCTGGTGAATTGCAGAGCTATGGCACGCATCGCTGCGCACGAATCCGGCAGAATCAGAAACTCGTGACTAATAAACCTTCCAACCCTAAACTCTGCAGGGCTGAGCCAGGCACAGCACCAGGCGCGGCTGGCTGTCGGGTGTCCTTGTGACGGGGGTCCGGTTCAAGCAGTTTAGAGTCTGAGTTTAGGGTTTCGGATTCTTGCGGAGTGCTTTTTCCAGAAGATTTCGACCAGAAGGAGCCGAGGTCACAGTGAAATTACACAACACTGACCCTCACACACCATGCCGCAAAACCGAAGCAGCCCGACCAATCTGAGGCCCCAGCCAGCACGTGACTTGTGACAACTCACTCAGCTGAGAAGGACAGCAAGAGAGCTTAGGCACTGCAGCGGCAGCTGAGCGGGTTGAGCGTTCTTCCGACTAGTAGCTGCAAGAGCAGGATGCGAGAAAGAAAGGACACACCTGCATCTTACCAAACTGTCATGGACATCTGCGCAAAGTAAGCCTTTCGCATCCTTGCTTTACAGGGTCTTCTAGTCATCCTTGTCTGACGAGCCGTGACTCACCGCGCTCTAAAACTGCTGTAGGGCGTATAGGGTCTGGGCAAGAACCTGATGAGAAGCCCTTGGCTCCAAACCAATCCCAAAACAACAATAGGATCTTGGTACGGCCCCCATACAGTAAGAGTCTACAATAGGGCTGCTGTTCAGGTCCTAATATATCTATATTATGAATTTTGCTCAACTATTGCTGAGTGGGGGCCGTACCCAAAATAGGATCTTATTTACTCTCGGGCTTACCGGGCTTACCACGAACCGATTCCTACACGCTACACGACATCGTTCCGGGGCGGGAACGATTCCAGCAGCGTCCACCCAATGGGCCTGGCTGTCTGCGGTCGGGCATGGTCATTGCTGGAAAAAGCGCTGTGCTGGTTGAGGCAACGACAAGAGTCCCCACTAGGACGAATGTCAGATGCGAAGCTGCCAGTGTGAGCTGCAATGGATGCCTCTCCAGGCCGGGCGGAGCTGGAAAGAGGCTGCGGTCCTGAAACGCACCTACTCCGCAAACGGATTCTTCAGTAGCCAGCCCGACACTTCAGCGAGTCTGACCCGAGGCAAACGGTTGTTCAAAGATTTCGGAAGGTCCTGTCCAGCCTGTGCTGTAGGCATACTGCTACACGTCGAACTTGTCGCTGTCTCACTGCGCTCGAAATAACCTGCACCATAGCAGCAAACGACCGTAAGCCGACATATGTGGACGCGAGTAAGGTCAGGACGGGCGCGCCAGACAGTCTAATGCGAAAAGAGTCCCGAAAATGGTGTACGAGTAGACATCTGCAACGACCACGGTTAATCACACTGTGATGCTTGGCACTTGCACTGAACTCCTCTATCCGCTACAGCATGTCCACCGAATTCCTGCTACGAAAATCCCAAACGCATGCACGCAAGGGCAAGTCGCACAGAACTCGAAGATGTTACGGGGTTCAGGCCTCCAGATGTCTCTGGGCAGGCGTTCAAAAGGATCGCACCCCAAGACCCGAAAACAGCGACACACGCGCGAGGTTTTCGGCAGGAGTCCGCCACTTCAACAAGGCAAATTGGGGTCGATCGTCATTCCAGAAATCCAGAATCGGAGTCGGTCGTAAGCCAAGATGCCGAAGGTGCTGCACATACTGATGAACCACGACACGGTCAGTCTCAGAAAGTCTGGTAGATACCAGCCATTTCGCGTGTCTGTGAAAACGACGCTTGCCAAATATCGTAGAGGCTCCCCCCGCCCTTCCAAAAACAAAACACGCAAAAGCAGTATTTGTGGGCCCCAGATGCCAAAAAATCGGATGAAGGAGAAAGCAGAGACAACGAAAACGACGTAATTATCAAGGAACTTGGTGTTGTGCAGCCACACAGGCTGCACACCCAAACAATGCAAACGTGCAGAAATGTTGGAAACACCGAGCATTTCGCCTTTTCCAGAAATTGCGCTGCAGAGACGACAAGACCAGAACGAGAAGATGGCAGTGACAAGGAGCGAAAGTGCTGTAAATGCATGTCTTCAGGCAAACGGATCTTCTCATCCCCACCCCCCACCCCGCACCCCGCCCTCCCCCATTGATCCGCCAAGGGCCTCGGCCGGACGGAAAGTGTAACACCTTCCGCGACGGCCATCGGCGGCGCTGCCAACAACAACCACGAAAACAAAAACACACACACACACAAATAAGAGTGACAAAGACCATAATATAAACAACCAACATAAACAACTAAGACCACAAACAACACAGCTTGCATCGTGCCTGTAGACAGAGGGCCCTCGCAAGCGTTAGCTTCCGACCTCACCAACAGCAGCTCACGGTCCGTGTGACACGAAGACGCCCTGCACCCGACGCGCAGCAAACCCGGAGAGCGCACCACCTAAGCTGCCGCAGCCTGAGGTTGGAGTTTCAGAAAAAGGGGGCCGCCCAATACCGCCCAAACCTGCACCAAGGCCCCAGCTCCTGATCACCAGACTCTGCAGCCTGACAGCAAGACTGGACGTGCATCTTGGAATTTACATCCTTTGGCGGTGCAAAGCAACGGGTTCTTGAATCGTTAAACAACGAAGGCAGTTGTCAGAGACCGCACAAAAAGCTACGCTCATGCTCGAGCGTTGAACATTGCTATGTTTAACATGCGACGACGAACTGAACTGCCGTGCGTTAGAAAGAGTTGTAGTAGCTGTCGTCGAAGTCGTCGTCTTAGTAGAAGTAGTAGTAGTAGTAGTAGCAGTAGTAGTAGTAGTAGTAGTAGTAGTAGTAGTAGTAGTAGTAGTAGTAGCCGTAGTCGTAGTCGTAGTCGTAGTCGTAGTCGTAGTCGTAGTCGTAGTAGTAGTAGTAGTAGTAGTAGTAGTAGTAGTAGCGGTGGTAGTAGTAGTAGTAGTAGTAGTAGTAGTAGTAGTAGGTATTGTTGTTGTCGTTGTTGTCGTCGTCGTGGTAGTGATGATGGCAGTGGTAGTGGTAGTGGTAGTGGTAGTGGTAGTGGTAGTGGCAGTGGTGGTGGTCGTGGTCGTGGTCGTGGTCGTGGTCGTGGTCGTGGTCGTGGTCGTGGTCGTGGTCGTGGTCGTGGTCGTGGTCGTGGTCGTGGTCGTGGTCGTGGTCGTGGTCGGTCGGGTCGCGGTCGCGGTCGTGGTCGGGTGGTGGTCGTGGTCGTGGTCATGATGGTGATCGTTATCGTGATCGTGGTCGTGATCGTGATCGTGGTCGCGATCGGGTCATGGTGGTGGTGCTGCTGCTGGTCGTGGTCGCGGTCGGGTTGCTGTCACGGTCCTGGTCGTGGTCGCGGTAGTGGTAGCGGTAGGGGTAGTGGCAGTGGCTGTGGCTGTTGGCAGCAACAGTAATAGCAGAAGGTAGAGTATGTAGTACTACCACTACTGCTCTGCTAAGACTGCTGCTGCTGCTGCTACCCCTACTGCTAAGACTGCTGCTGCTGCTGCTGCTGCTGCTGCTGCTGCTGCTGCTGCTGCTGCTGCTGCTGCTGCTACTGCTACTATACTACTACTACTACTACTACTACTACTACTACTACTACTACTACTACTACTACTACTACTACTACTACTACTACTACGACTACTACTGCTACTACGAATGACGACGATGACGACGACTACTACTACCACTATCGACTACCTACTACCTGCTACCTACTATCCACTACCACCTACGACCCACCAGCTACCACCTACCTGCTACCTGCTACCTGCCACCTACTCCCTGCTAGCTACTACTAGCAGCAGTAGTAGTTTAGTCGTCGTCGTAGTAGTAGTAGTAGTAGTAGTAGTAGTGGCAGTAGTCGTAGCAGTAGTGGTAGTAGCAGTAGTAGCAGTAGCAGCAGCAGCAGCAGCAGTAGGTACTAGCAGTTCCGGGAAGTGTTGGCCTCGATCTTAGATTCCCGAGCTTTGCGGCCTGCAGCAGCCGGTCACATGTTTTTTCTCTTCGAGGATGTTGTTAAGGCTTTGGGTGTAGGATTGTCTACTCACCCCTGACGCGCGTCCCTAACGTCGGAGCCGGGACTGTGCTCCTACACCTTGCCGCCACACGAAGACCGGCAGTTGTTCAGCGCAAGCAAAGCCGCTGCTCCAAACAGACGATTACATGAACACAACCTTACGGATTCGCAGTCCATTAGACAACAAGCTGCTGGTCAGCTTCAGCATGGAAACCTAGAACCACCAAGTTTTGAACACGCATATGATGTATTGACATGCAGCAGACGAACCATACTTAAGCGCGGAAGGTTTGCCGTTTCGTAACCAATGTCACATCACCGAGAAAGACGATGTCATGTCGAGCTGGTCAAATCTAAAGGTTTATGGTTGCCCTCACATCGTAAAAAAAGACACTGGCAAGAATACATTTTTCGATCAAGAACAAAGGCACGACATGGAGGATCATGGGACTTAGTAAGTAGGGTTATGAGTGCCTTACTTTACTTGTAAACCTACTTACTAAGTCCCATGACCCTTTAAGTAGGACCAGCCTCGGTTCCGATGCTTCTTTGCGACCGCTTGGTCAGGATGCTGAACCTGCCCGGCACCACTGATCCGTCAGACAAGTCTCATTCTGCAGTTGCTCCAGTAACAGGAACAGCCGTGCTACAAATGGGTGGTTGTCAAAATTAGATTCCCTTTTTGGGTCCTTTATATAATACGGCACCTCTTCTTCAGGGTACCCACAAAGGGATGATTTCTCTCCATGCAGCCAGTAAGAGAGCCAATGCACCTTGATTTGCGTAAGCAGAGCCAGATTCTGATTAGGTCGCCAATCCGAAAGACTGAGCGGACATCTGACACCTAGCGCCAAAGTCTGCGCGCAGCGTTTCGTTTCTTTTGAGCAGTTCTTCTTGAGTTCTTCTTGATAGTTAGGCCGCCACTGTTCAGCACTGTTGCCTATGTTATGCCATGGCCGGCAGCAATGCGAGCTCGACAGTGGTAAGATTCTGTTTCAACTGCAGAGCAACATCACAGTGAAAAGATGGCCACGTGTTGTAATCATGCGGCAGGCTCAGCACCCAAATGATGCTAACACACCCCTCATAGCTGGGCCAGCCATCTCCCCCAAAAGGAGCCCTGAAAGGAGCCCTGAAAGGAGCGCTTCGGGCCCCCCAGCCTTAGGGGCCCTGAACCCCAGAGTTCTGAGCCCCCCTGCCGTGGGCGCAGGAAACGGGGCGACGGTTTAGGATTTAGGCTTCTTGGGCTTCTCAAAGAGCGGTTTTTTGGGTTAAGGGTTCTTGGGTTCAGGGCTTAAGGCTTAGGGTGACCCCTGGGGATGGCGGAAAGGGATCTTACGATTGCACAGCAGGGGCGAACACTACTGAAAGGATCATGGAATCAGGCTTGGAAAGAAGGCGCCTACAACAATGAAATTATTTTACCTACTTTTACCTACGTGCTAAGTTGCTATGTTGTCTGATTCTCCAACAAGCCACCTGCTAGGGCACTCCAAGGGTTATGCGATGAATGTGTTTGCAGCTGTTGTCAGAACGGTAGTCCTCAGAGTCCTGATTCCCTTGGGCGGGTGCACCCACCTGCAGAAACGCCAGCAACCTGCGGTATCCCTTTACGGTAACCCTTGCGGTAGCCAGCACAGTAACCCCTGCAGCAACTAACCACCATAGCAACCCTCATGAAAACCTCTATGGTAGCCCTTGCAGTAGCCCTAAACCCTAAACCAAGCCTGATAGGAACCATTGCAGCAGGAAGAACCGGTCTCCGGGCTTACGAGTAAGCCCAATGCGTGGTTAAGGGTTCAGGGTTTAGGGTTCTGGTCCGGCCTTCAGCAGCGCTGTTCCACGTGCACGCAGGTCTGCCAAGCTTTGTGATGGATCCTGCATCTGACATGCGACTATTCGGAAGATGAGTAACCCTTCTACTAGTAGCCCTCATAGTACCTATCAGTAGTCCTGATAGTCACCCACAACGTTGCTTTTATGGTGAGCCTTATGGTAACCAACCCGCATACAGCAACCACCATCTTGAAGCCTTCAGTCGAGCAGGCTTCAACCCGCATGTGTCAACAAGATGCACCAGGAACTTAGACCGTGGGTGCAGCTTTGAGAAGGGCGGTACGCGATTTGACTGTTCACTGTTTCAGTTGGCTTTGCTTGGTGGAAGTCCCACTGCACTCACAGAATAACCGCAAACCTCAGCATCCACAATGTGCCAAGAAGATCCAATGACCTACGACACTTGAGACAAGCTGCCATTGGAAAGGGGACAGCCATTGGAGCTGTGTGAAACAGCTGGGTTCAAGTTTCAAGTTTCTTAGGGTTTAATTCGGTTTTCAGCTTTATCTGAATAAGAGATTTCACTGGCAAACACTGCCCTGCACTACAGGCACTTCATCACCCTTTGAACGGCCTTCACAGACAGCCACTGCAGACTTGCACAACTCGGCTCCTCACCGTAGGCGTCTGTTTGAGCTTCTAGAAGGGTTGGCGTCAGAGCCAATGGCAGGGTTACTGTAAGGGTCTTGAGGTTGAGGTAAATGCTTCTGTAAGGCTCACTGTAATGGCTTCGACCGCCGCTTAGGGTCTACGGCTTTGGGTAGCACGTTCAGGGCTCGGCAATGGTAGCTGATGTTGATACTTCGGCCTATTTTTGACTGTCGACTCAATCTACATTAGGGATTTCATGGTCAATAATGCTATGCTTTACTATGCGATGGTACATCCTACTACATTATACTACACTGTACTAGAAAAGACTCCATTCATTCATTATGCTACAAAACAGTGTGCCACAGTATTCTTTCAAAAGCAAACATTCAAAAAGATTGGAGTGCAATATGCTACATTGTACTGCATTATGTTACACCATATAGCAGACCCTTATATTACACAAAATTTACATGAAAAATAGTCATCCGTTACATTATATTACACTACTTGCCGCTATATGACATTGTACTGCATTTTCGGTATGCTACGGTTACATTACATAACATTATATTCCGTCATATATGTAACATTGTAACATTATACGACATTATATTATGTTGTATTAGGTGCCTTCACAATACCTGACATTACATTACACTACAATACAGTGAACTATATGTTTACATCTTACTAAAGTATCTTACAGTGTTACATCATCTCATCTCATAATACCATGTCATATTTGTATGTTAAGCATGATATCGTATTACAGCGAATACTAGAATATTATGCTGCTCGGCTGTGGATTATGTTATGTAGGGTGTTCCATATGTCATAAGACACACGATGCCTTTATCAGTCATCGGTGCACAGACAGACTTCCTCGAGAAGAAATCTTCGTGGACTTGCATCACCCCCGCATGCCATGTGATAGATTCTGATAGATAGAACATACAATCTCTGCTGAACTTCTGAATTCAACGCATGGTCAAAGCACAGTGCCTGTTGAGGCAGCTCGCCAGCACTCACGGGTGCCTCACACGCACGGGATGATCCCACAGGAGCGTTGGGCTGTGCACTCCCACAAGCTGATTCCAGGCGTGTTAAGTCTGAAGCCAACCGGGACCTGGGACCCGCACCTGACCCGTTCGGACTTCGATCAACTGCGACAACTGCCTCGGCGCGGCGGCAGCCGTACCCTGGGTCCTTGTCTGTCTATCTGTCTTTCTGTACCCCATCTGTGGGCTTTGCGCCGTGCACGTTGGCGCACTCAGCTTCCCTTCAGGCTACAACACATGATCCTGGCGAGCTTGACCTTCCTGGGGTCAGTGCAACCGAGGCTTCCCGATGTTAATCAGGCCGGGTGCCTTGCGAAGCACACAGAAAATGCACCGGCTTCTACAGTCTCTGCCAGCGAGTCAAGAGTCGCGGCTGCCTTCTTCGGCTGAGCATGTTCAGGGAGGTCAGTACCTCAAAGGCCCGCTTTGGAAAAATCTTGGACTCGCGAGAGAACTGCGGGAAATCCCCTCCACCTCGTGATTCTGTAAGCTCCGCGCATGACTGAACATGCGGCATCTGTGAACCCACGTGAGATGAGAGTTGGGAAGAAACGCTTCGGAACAAGTGCACGATGCCCGAAATAGCTGCCTGCACTTCTGCAAAGCGAGTACGTCAACATAAATTTCTGACCCCGGCCATGGGAGAGAGAGAGCCGGGGAGTCACAGAGATGCCAGAACCGAAAAGAGTGAAGATTTGTAAACCCAGCCGACATGCTGCGGCGGATGTGAAGATTCTCTGGGCCATGCAGAATCACACAGAACTCCTCTCAGAGAAGCAACCATTTCGGATCTGGAAGTGCAGGTGGGGAGCTGGGCATACCTAAAGGTTCAGGGACTTAGTAAGGGTTCCTTAAAGGGCTCCTTAAAGGGATCTATAGGGTTCCTTAAAGGGATCTATAGGGCTTAGGGTTTAGGGACTACTTAAAGGTTCATGGGACGTAGTGGACATGGTTATAAATAAAGTAACTATACTGATAATTGGATATAACCCCACTTAGGGTACTTATAACTGTACTTACTAAGTCCCATGAACCTCCAAGTAAGTGTGCTCCTTTACAGCGTGACGATTGGATTGTCAGAACAAGCAGCCTCAGGCACTCAACCGTAGAAACCAACGAATTGCTGAACAGGGTACTTGACATGCGATCGCACCGTAGGGCAAAGCGATACCAGACATGCATGGCACAAGTCAATATTCGAGCCGCCCTGTACTTGGTCTTGCTAGAAGTTTCAGTGCATTTTAAGGCTGTCCAGGAGGGGGACACCGAGGCATACCGCCCTTTTCTCTGCACCATCGCGACAATGCCCTGCTCCAGCCACCCTTTGATGTACCAGAGCCTTCCAGTATCTCTGGCACAGCCTCAGAAGCCTCCCCTATGGTAGTTTCCGAAAGTTAGGGGTACCTTATTTTGGGGTCCTTATAATAAGGATCCTACCGTTTAAGGTACTATATGAGGGTCCCCGCTTCTCGGAAGCTCCCATATCCTTTCGGGCTCGCGGCTCATGGGCTCATGGGCTGTGACTGGGCTGTGGGCAGACGTGAGACCCCTGGATGCAGGTTTTCCCTTCTTCCTCACTTCAGAGAGATCTCGTAGCAGGAAAACAAGTTCCTGGCCGTCAGAAGCGACAGCTTCGCGAGCGACCAACTCCCGGCCCTCCACACACATGCGACCTGCCTCTGACAACTCCTCTAAACCCTGAAAAACTGAAAACCTTGAAAACACCGAAGCCCAACCGCGCGCTCCGAACCCGAAACGGCCCGAAACCCGAAAACAGGGGAGGAGCTTTGCAAGCTACACTTTCCACGCCGAGGCCGCGGCCCAGCCAAAGCCTTGGAGAGGGCTTCATGGGAGCCCGATAGGGTTCCTATAAGGCTTACAGATACTAGAAGGGGTCCTTTGAGGATCCAAGGCGAGCGTCTACGATTTTAAGGGGAACGAAGCAGCTTGGGTTGTAAGGGTGGAAATTTCGTGCAAGTAGGGTTCGAGGAACGGCATTCAGCATCGGGAGCCTTTGGGGCTCTTGGGGTCCAGTCGGCGCGGGGCTGGGGCAGCAAAGCTGCCGAGATGAGGATCGGCAACGTTTTCCCAAATTTCCCAGCATCGGCGCCTCAAGCACGGACATGCCGAAGCCGACGCCGGCGAGGCTCACCTCCTGTCGTCGAAACCAAAAGAAGCCCAGAGCTCCTTGACAACTCCCCATTCCCGACCGAGCAGGGTTGCGCCTTCACCACGAAGCGCTCTTCTAGCGCCGCCACCAAGGCCTACAGCTGAGGGCTCGGTAAAGCTTGCTGTTTTCGGAGGGGTGGCCTGAACACTTGGATTGCAGTCGGAACATGGAACTTGTCTGCACCTACCCTCATGGCCCGTAAGGCTTGCCCATTATCTGAGGCAACTGCAAAGAAATTCCGCAGAAGATAAAACCATCAGTGCCCTTCACTAGCATCGTCACGAAACCCTACGCAAAACCATGAGACAACACGTTCAATTACGCCTCCACTCCATCCTCGCCGATTTCTGTAGAGTTGCACAGCAAGCTCCTTGGTCACACGCACTCCCGACAAACATTTGGAAATCAAAGCCTGCCGCCCGCAAGACATCAAAGCATGCGCTCCTTCGCACTTCAAACCCCAAGAAAGAAAATCGATTACTACTATTACTATTATTTTCTACTATTACTATTACTATTACTATTACTAATATTACAATTATTACTATTATTTTCTACTATTACTATTACTATTACTATTACTAATATTACAATTATTACTATTATTTTCTACTATTACTATTATTACTACTATTACTACTATTACTCCAACTCAGCCAGGGCTCTTGGAAGTGTCCATGGGAATACCTTGTGAGAGTGCCTGCGGCATGGCCAGCGACATTAATGTTGAGAATAACTAACCAGTGGTTTTGGGGGTTCCTTGGCTCTTTAGCTCCTTTTTCAATAGGGATTATCATCATCCCTGGCTCCTTAGCTCCCATAATATCAATGGTTAGATAAGATTCCAGCATCCCCCCGCAGTTTCACCGTCTGCCTTCTCTCTGACGTTCCACAGAGGGTCCATCGCCTGGGCAATGGCCTCCCAAGAACCAAAAGCACCGCAGCTGGATAGGTAGTGGACTTGGAGGATCATGGGACTTAGTAAGTAGGGTTATAAGTACATTAATTGGGATTATAAGCAATTGTAACTGTAGCTACTTTACTTATATAACCCTACTGACTAAGTCCCATGATCCTTTGAGTGGTGTAGTTACCTACAAGCTCAGAGCTTGGGAAACTCGCCTCGGCGCGCTCCTCCCCGATCTGATCGTGGTAAAAGAAGACCCGACGAAGGGAAGCGTTGAACTCCAAGGCTTCCACCAGTTCCTGAAGAGCACCCGGCGCGCTCTCACTGTGCTGCGACGAAGGTAAGAACCACGTTTTCAAGAAACTCAGAAAAAACCTCTCTCTCCACATCTTCCAGCAACTGAAGCTCATGTTCTGATTTCCGTATGCGACTGCCGTTTGCCAGATGCTTTGCAGGCTCGGGGCCACGAATCGACGAAGGGATGACGACAAAGAGCCCTACGACGAGGGCTTTCGGTGCGCTCGAAAACTAAGTGTGTTGCTGCACGCAGTACGCCGCACGCCTGCCGATATTTCGTGAGCCTCGCATCGTGTCTTTTTGAAGGCCCGAAAGCTGTGCAGTTGTCTGCAAACTTTCCGAAAGAAACGCATGGCTTCAGCGCTTCCTGTCACAGTCTCGTTGGGGCTGAAGTCTTAAGGCTTGTGGCTTTGGAGTGCCTAAGTGGAAGCCGGTGTTTGGGGTATTATGTTCATGTTACAATATGTTGTTCAAAGAAAAACCAAAACACCAAACACTGTACATGTCCAGGCTTAGCTTGGTGGGTTCATCACAAGTATTGTCTTGCTGTGCTGTTTCTTTCTTCATGTCGTTCTGCCGTTTTCTCCTTCTTCCTGACTTGCAGTGTTTTCTTCAATCGACGTGCTTGTCTTTATTCAATCATCTGGAATCTAGCTATTCCCGTGCTTCTTCCTGTCCTTTGTGCGAGTATCGTCGTGGTTACGTTCTTTCGTTATTTCTTCATGTCTCTTTCGTTCTTTGTTTCGCTGGTTCCTTGTAAATTTCATGTGTCTCGAGTGTAGTAGGGCATGCCCAAGACACTTGTACGCATAGCATGTTTTGCCTGATTGATGATGAGGACGATGCTTCGTGATGATGCTGATGGCGGCGGTGCATGATGATGATAATGATGATGGAGTTTATGATGTGGATCATGATGATGACGACGCTGATGCGTGACGTTCTACGTCATCAACGCCCCCCATGCACAGTATGTAGTATGTAGTTGCCCTCGGGGTCTTCTTGTCTGCGCACGAAGCCTCCCCACAAGCCGATCCGGAAACGCCATGAAGAATCTCAGTTCTTGATACAGTCAGCTGATTGCAGGAAATGGGCATGTTAGTCGGCTGAAGGCAAGACCAAAACTGTAAAGACCCTTCCCTACGAGCATGACCGAGGCAACTGTTTGGATCCAGACACTCACACCTATTGAACGCAGCAGCACGAACGACGGTACGAGATCTGACGAACGCATACGGCCAGCTGTGGTGAGATTTCACGTCGTGATTTCTTCACAGGCCCGTTTGGTTGTATGTACGTCGTCTACGTAGCGCACGTGGAACGCCAAAGGCATTGGCCCAACTACTGCTACCTCTGCAGGAAAAAGGTGCTGAGAACTCAGAACCACAATTGCTCCGCTCGACGTGTTTCCAATTGTTGAATATTCGAGGATTCGTCCGTACACGCATGCGTAATCTTGGTGCGCACATTCAAAATGTGCACAACACCACACCTAAGCAGCTTGACCTCAATAGACCCAATGTCATAGAATCCTTCAAACAAGGATCTCCAAAATAGAGCCTGAATCAGCCGATCCAAAACAGGAGCACCCAAAAACTACAGGACCTCTTTGTGAGAGGGATGAGGTCTTCCCGCCTGGGCGTCCTCATCATCCAAGGCATCGGGACGGACGGGATCGAGTGTCACGGACTGGCCAGGTTCTTATGTCTATTCGTCTTCCTACCAATACTGTTACTCTGCTACTCTTCTATGCACTCTACTCTTGTTGTTGTCGTCAAGAAAGCAGGGGATGCCGTTGCCGGGCTTGGGGTCTAAGAGACACAGGGCTTCATCACCGCTTCGAGCAGCACTTCCTTCCGGGCTTCGGTGCACCAGCAATAGCACGAGCAGCCCGCAAGTGACCATGAAAGTTGCCGTCGATCCCATGATGATGAAGGAAACCCGAAACCCTTTCGTAGAGACTTCGATGTGGCAGTGATGTTGATCTTTGCCCGTCTGGCACCTGGCCTGCACTGGTGAAGAGGTGTCCAACAGGGTAGCGATGAGCTGGCAGGCGCCACACATGTCACAGACTCGGTCATTATCCGGTTTTAAAAGAAACGCATCGTGGGTCTGGAACTCAACTGTGTGTGCAGACCTTGGCGCACTCTGCATCCACAGCCGTGGCCTGGGAATGCAACCGCAGATTCCTCATTTCGAGCGGTTGAGAGAGCGGCAAAGGGCCTCCACGTAGACCTGTTGCACTCCTGGGCTACTCCGGAGTGCATCCCCCACCGCCTGGCCACGACGCACAGGCGCTCATGCATACCAATGTCATTGCTATCATAATGCTTGCTGGTATGCGTGTTGCTCGCGCCACTTCTGCAACTACTTGCTTTTGATGTTGCTATTGTTACTTTTATCCCATTACTTGTTGTTGGTTGTAATACTTAAACTCCTTTTGCCATTGCTACTGTATCACTACTGAGCTTGCTAGTCTCGTTGTCGTTGCTCAGCATTTTTGACCGTTATGAGTTATCAATACGTCTTTCTTGACTGCTCTACGTACATTATCCGTGTTGACTTTATTGACATGACTATTATGACGATTACTTCACAAAATGAACATCCTGTGTGTCACACCGGCTTGATGCCTCGATGCCGGTCTCTTCAAGGCCGTCACACTGGATCGCCACCCTTCGAGACAAGCACAAAGCTCGGAATCGGCTCCAGGAGCTTACTCTAAACCCTCAGTCCATCCATCCATCCATCCATCCACCCACCCATCCATCCATCCATGTATTTCGGCATGGTTCGTGAGGTTTTGCCTGGCTCGCGAAGTGAGGAACTCACAGGCCACGCACAGCTCGCGGAGGCGAGCATCGTCGACATCCTCAGGGCTGACAGCTTGGAAGTGGACAAACTCTACGATTAATGCTAAAATCGGTTTTGTAGCTTGTTGCTGATGTTGGTAACAATTCTTTTGAACATTACTCGTAATGTTAGCTTGATCCGGAGTATTAACATTACTCGTATGTGCATCAGAAGATTTACTTGTATTATTCAAGCTGTAAGACAAGAACTCTTAATATTATGACTGGAATGACAGTTTTTGACATGTTTTGTGCTCTTGTTTGTGGTAGTAGAAGTAGTAGTAGTAGTAGTAGTAGTAGTAGTAGTAGTAGTAGCAGTAGTAGTGGTAGTAGTAGTAGTAGTAGTAGTAGTAGTAGGAGTAGTAGTAGTAGTAGTAGCAGAAGTAGTAGCAGTAGTAGTATTAGCAAGTAGTGGTTGTAGTAGTAGTAGTAGTAGTAGTAGTAGTAGTAGTAGTAGTAGTAGTCGCAGTCGTAGCAGTAGCAGTAGCAGTAGCAGTAGCAGTGGCAGTGGCAGTTGCAGTAGCAGTAGCAGCAGTAGTAGTAGTAGTAGCAGTAGCAGTAGCAGTAGCAGTAGCAGTAGCAGTAGTAGTACTGTAGTAGTAGTAGTAGTAGTAGTAGCAGTAGTAGTAGTAGTAGTTGTTGTAGTAGTAGTAGTGCTACTACTACTAATAATAATGAATATTGTTCAAAGTATCAGCACTGCAAGTACAGGTGGTATTACTGGTATCCACAACGGATTCCACCATTAAATCTCAAAATGGTGTTAACACGACGGTTCCTATCATCAATAGTACTAGGAGCAGTAGCAGCAGTCGTAGTAGCAGTAGCAGGAGTAGTAGTAGCAGCTGTGGTAGTAGTAGTAGTAGTAGTAGTAGTAGCAGTAGTAGTCGTAGTAGTAGTAGTAGTAGTAGTAGTAGTAGTAGTAGTAGTAGTAATTGTTGTTGTAGAAGTAGTAGCAGCAGCATCATCTTTATTGCGATCGTTATCAGTTTTTGCACGACTATGTCTGTCTTATTTTGGTACGTTTCTGGCAGCATCATGATTTGAGGGCTTCCTGACTTATGCGCGCCTGTTACCGCGGCCTTGATTACAAGGATCCCACTGTTTTGCCGTGCAGGCTGCAACAGATATCATATCATGATCATATATATATATATATATATATATATATATGTATGTGTGTGCTTTTCTCATGTTGTATTATGTTAAATTATAAGACGTGACATGGTAATGTAGTGTATTTATATATATATATATATAGTATAGTCCCGGATCTCCTGGCCTGGATGTCATCTAACTCTGGAAAAACATCGTTGAAGGCGTCGCAGTGCGGAACCACCAACCGGAACAGTGCCAAATCGTGGGAGAAGTCTGCCTCTCACAATGTAACACGAGGGATGTGTTGCAAATTATAAGCTGCACAGCCCTACCATGTGGTCATCTTAGCTTGCTAGTATGTGGCATAGTGCCCACACCGATACAACGTTTGAGCACAATTACTCTTATTAAATGCAGTTACGCACCCGGAAGTGTTCCTGATGGCATCGTAGTCGCTGCCCATGTCGACAAATGGCTTCGGGGCTGAATGCCAGTTGAGAAGCTGAACCCAACTGCGCTGGATATGTCTAAACGTATACAGACAGCTCGTGCAGGGAAGTGCTCACACAATCTACGCACATGGCCGACGTTCAATGACTGAACTGGGTAAGAAGGACCTGAGCATAACCCTGCAAACACGAGACACCGCACCTCTTTGCGCTAGAAGTTGGCAGAGCTACAAGAAATCTGTGGAAGTACAGAGGAAGTGGATCAACAGCATGAGTTCCCTCTGCCCCTTTTGATGCCTCATCTCGAATTTGTTGCTCCATAAGCTCGTTCCTGTCCTGCGGCAGGCAGCTGCCAGGAGTGGAAATGCTACGGCTCATGCTTGGAGCCTGAAAGACACCATCTTGGAAAGATGCTTAGGCCTAGCGGCTGAGCAGGCTTTTGAATCTTGGATGCTCCTCCAAGGCCGCACTCAGGCGCTCCCCTGTCCAGGGAGCCACACCACGCTGGAGGCTGCCTCGAATCGGTCTGCGCTGAGAGCAGACATTCTGGGCATGGAGTCTGCAAGAACGAGCCGTGCTGTTGAAACTGCTACGAATGTTGCTGGTGCGTCAACTCTATGCCCTGTCGATCTTTGTCTTTCCGAGAACATGGACGCACCAGGGCTTGCAGAAGAAGCATGAAGCAGCGACAGCTGGTGTCTCCAGCGTCACAGTTGAGGGTTGCTGGTTCAAAACTGCTTTGGGAGTTATTTCTTCATTTCGTCGAGTTCGCGTGGACCTTCGTGCCTCACTCACGTATGACCGTTTGACTTTCTGCGACTCGCCGACAGAGTAGTTAAGGGTTGCTGCTCCACTTAAGGGTTGCCTCTCTTCTGAAACTCCCATATCTTGAGAGAGCCCAAGTGCTTACGCTTCCAGTGCCGCGGTGCCGTACGACAGATGGGCCATGATGAGCAAAAAGACCTCAACAGACGAACCCGGGACACGGCAAAAAAGACTCTGACATTAGCAGATTGCTTCGACTGCCGCAACATGCCTGCGTCAGAATACACCTGGAAACCATGCCTATGACCAGCTGCGTGAGAGGCATGTCTTCACATCCCTGCGACCAACATTCCTGGTGGAGCCTAAACCACGGATGCCTTCAGGTCAAGGGGCCGGGATGGCCAGGTTCAGCAAACCAACGAAGAGGCTTCTCCCCATCACTTTGAGATAGCAGATGGCAAAGAAGGCCTGCAAAAAATGCTGGCTGTGCTGACGTTGCTAAGACAGCAAGCGGGCGGAAGCCCACGACATGGTTTCACGCGAGATGCAGTCGTTCGCTCCTCTCGGCTGAGTAAACCACAGCTGTATGCACGGTCAGATGTTTGAAAGCACCGGTTTCGGCGCCTGCGGCACATTCTCCAGAACCATCAGCTTTCGCTTAGTCGGGGTGACTTGCCTCGATCAACTTTGCAGGACCGTAATGGTGACTGGTGGTGCGGAGGAGGACAACGAAGAGGCTGATGATGATTTATGATGACGGCGCACAGCGAAAGCGACGACCGGAGCAGACTTCGGAGAGGCATACCATCAATGGCCCAGCGACTTGTAAAGCATCGGCAAGATCATGTTGCACAGGCGGCGGCAAAGTGGAAGCTGCTTCGCGCTGGTGTCCTTGCAACGGGGTACTTGCCAGCCTACGTTGAAATCTGCACCTCGTAATGCCGTGGCTCCTCCGGCGTGGTATCCTCCGTGGATGCGACGAGAACGGACAAGTGGCTCCTGAGCTCGTTCCAACGAGAAGAAACGCGACACTGAATGAAAAGTCCTAAACCGAGCTCAAGCCCTAGGCTCCAAGCCCTACACCTCACAACACACTTCTGAGTGCCGGGACGCCCACAGAGTTGTGCGAGACACTTGTCATCGAAGAAACTGCAGTAGATATGTAAAGCGGCCAGATGCACCTAAGGATCACTTCAGGGCTTAGGGTTTGGGGTACAGGATGTTTGGGTTCGTCACATCGAAACATGTGCCCGGTCCCACCAGGCTGAGAATTCCGATGACCTGCACGAAGGTAACGCCGCTTTGCCAACACAAGGCTGCCAGGATCATGTCCTGACGTCAGGGTTTAAAGGAAAGCCTTCTGTTTGGAGATCCCTAGAAACAAAACCAGAAACCAGGAAAAGACAAGAAAAAGCGCCCAAGAGCCGTGGAGACCAGGTCTTGTTGCAGTCGCTGCATATGTTTTCATAGGGGTTTATGAGGACTGAAAGACCTATGGGGCTTCGAGGTATCATAGGGCTCAGGATGTATGTGGCTTATTACCAGAACAAGGGATTGGGATTTGGTGCAATTCAGGGCTCGGGGCTTTGCGGTTCTAGCGCTTAGAGATTCTCATTGAAGAAACAAACAAAAACAGCTTCGCGATCGTAGGGTTTCAGCTATAGGACTTTGACGGCTGGGATTTGAGGTTAAAGGTTGGGGCTTACTTGGGGTTCATGGGACTTAGTAAGTACAGTTATAAGTACCCTAACTGGGGTTATATCCAGTTGTAAGTATAGTTACTTTACTTACAACCCTACTTACTAAGTCCCATGAACCCTTAAGTGCGCTCCTTCAACGTGTCGTAGGCATCGGATACAATCGGGCACATTCCGCTGAGGGAAGCAGTGAAGAATGTCTTCAAGCCGTACCTGTTTCAAAAAGCCAGAGAGCTTGATCTACCCTTCGCTTCGGGAATGCACTTTCAACGATAAGAAGCCCTGAGGGATTCAGAATGGAAGCCCTATATGGTTATAAGTTATAAGTTATATGCACCTTTAGAGGATGCTTCAGCTCAGAAGTTTTGGGCTCTTTCGAAGCAGAAACTGGAGCTGTGAGCTTGGAGCTGTTGACTTCATTCAAAAGGCACTCCGCAGCATCATACTTAGAGATTCTTCACAAGCCGACAGACCATGCCTGATGGCGACAAACTTTTGCAAGGGCGCTTCATGTGCCGCTTCGAGAACTTGGGCGCATCGAAAACGAAAAAACGTTCGGCTTCCCGGAAAATTGACTCCGTACACCCCTCTTTTGCTGGACAAAATCCTGGTGCAGGATGCCCCCTTTGCTTGAGATTTGCCGCGGCTTCGGCCAGATGATATTGCTGGGGCCTTAATAATTAAAGTAGGCTTCCTTTCAAGGGTCCCTCTAGAAAGGATCTATAGGGGTTACTACAAGGGTGCTATGATAGAAGGACCTTAATTAGGTGGGTTGAATAGGGTTCTAGGGCCCATTATACTATACTTGTACTAAGGAGCCCCCAACATAGTGTAGTGTAGGTAAAGCCCATGCAGCAGCTCCCACTCGCCTTCGCCCTTTGGGGAGGATCACAGCAGCAATGATTGCCTGCGTAATCCTCAGCTTTTTTTGCAACCGGCGACATGACCGCAAGGCCTGCCCCTCTGCGACATGTTCTGTCGAATGCAGGCTAGAAACTGCCATACACCAGCGGTGCCAAAGAGTATCAGGTAAACTTCCCAACATAAGCCTGTCTTCTGGCTTAACCTTCCTGTGGCGCCACTCGCGAAAGCTGCCGCCAAGGTTGCAGAGTACGTGAAGCTGAATGTGATCGCAAAGAGCGCCCGCTTACACCTAGGACCCGATGCTGCCAGGGTTTGCCGACTCACAGCAAAACCGATAAACAACATCTGGGTGGTGGCCAAAATTATGATCCCTTTTTGGCTCCCTATTATGATATGGCACCATATTCTTTAGGGCACCCAAAAAGGCACCATAATTTTGACAATTACTCATCTGCTTTGAACGGTTGCTGGTCCTGCCTGCGACTTAGCCCTGCTTTCTGTGGCGGTAGTTGCGGAGCATCAGAACCATCTTCCAAGGAATCCAACGAACTAAGGATGTGCTCTGGCTCAGATCTGCAGTTCTTGCATCTTGTGCCCAGCCAAAGTATGAAGGTTCCCAAGACCACCACACTGGCATAAAAAAGAACCATTGCAGAGATATAAAAGTGCATCCGGCCAGAAGAATCTGCAGGAGGCATGCTGTCGATGTACGCAGCATCAGGCAAGAACTTCGGTGGTGCTGTCACGAAAGCCGTCGGGGGCTGCACCTGGCTAACTGCCTGCACATCTTCGACCACGTCCGGCAGCTCAACGTTGGCTTCGGCTGCAATGGCCCATGATAGACATGCCAAGGCAAGGCGGTCTTTGCCGCCCAGAAACGCCACGTACATTGTTTCAACTTCAACAACTGCAACCTCTCGAAACACAACATACCCACACGTCAAAGACAAATGCTGAGTGCCCAATGTCGGATTCCAGTGCAGCCTACGAAACCCAAGACCGTTGCGAACGAACACAACTGCTCAATACAAGCGAATTCAACCGAATCAACAAGCTGTGCCCAGCGAAGCTAGTGCATATGTCAAAAACCAAGCCACATGATTCGAGATAACATCGCTTCTTGCCTTTCGGAGCCGAAGAGTGGTACTTCGAAAACTCAGTAAAGTAGGGCTTTTCTGCATGTGCGATAATGCAGCTGGTAAAAAGCCAACAATGCCCGCAAAACAAAAAAGACGCGGCTCAGAATCACACATAATGTGAAATCGCATGGACCGTTTGGACATGGAAGCACGATACGTCTCCTGGGACTCCGAGATCTTTAGCTCTGACAGCCTGGAAGCATCTTCAACCAAATTTGGCGCATTCTCCGGACTGTTGTTGTTTTACCAAATCATGGATTTACATGGCATTTTGGGCTGCTGAAAAAAAGCTTCAACTTTGTTTGCTCATTCAATCCAAGAACGAACTGGTTGAAATCAGGGAATCCATTTTGCTTCTTCAACTTGGTCTGAGCAGACGTGGACTTCCAGCTGGAACAGCTGGGTTCGACAGGTTTCAAAATTCGAAGCTGGGTTCGATTGGTTCAATTTGAAGCTGGGTTCGAATGGTTCAAAAAACCAAGTTCAAGTTGAAAGCCAGTCAAAGATTGAACAAACCTGCATTGACTTGGGCTCGCAGTTTTCGACTTTTTGCATTTTGTTTTGCGTTTTGATTTTGATTTTTGCTCATCATTCCGTAAAAACGCAAAAACATGTGGTTTCTCTTGTTCTATCTGCCACAGTTCCGCAGTGCACATGATCACACTGGACAACAAGCGGTGTTTGACAAAGCACAAACGAAGCACTCAATGGAAGAGGCGCAATACCACAACAACAGCTGCACAATGGTGGCCGAAAAAATGAAATCTCTCTGCCTGGCGTCTCCAAAGTCTTCTCCAAATCCAATCCGTGAAAACTCCAGCCTTCCCAGTTGTCACAACAGACTGTGCGCTGCCAGCTTTCTTCGTGCAGTGCATTTAAGCTTTGACCATGCAAGTTGATTCCACATTCGAAGAAGGCAGTCTGGAAACGGAACCCGGAGAACTCCGACACCGCACTTTATGTTTTCTGCACGAAGCTGAAACGCCGTCTCTGTCCAAACGCATTTGGCAAGCTGACATGCCAGAACATGGAAGAGCTTGAAAGGGGACTTTCAAGGCTCTCAAGAGGCATTGAAGCTTTGTTCAAGGGCAAGAGACTTCAAAGAGTTTTGAACGAGACTCTCAGAGCCTGTGAAAAGGGTCTTTTTGCGCTTTGAAGGGACTTGGCACAAAGAGGTGGAGTTCAAGCCCCTGAATGCCCCTTCAGGCCTCCTTCAACATGAAGCGATCTCGTGTGGCTTCTTGTTTCGTTTCTTTATTTTTTCTTCTTTTCTCATTTTTCTACAAAGCGATTTCGTTTTCTTCGCCGGGCGCGGCGTTTCGCGCGGTAACTAATTATAATTAAAAAGAAATTAGCGGCGCGCGCGGAGCGCGCGCCGCCAGCGAACAAAAAACGCGTTTTTCCGGTTTTGCTTTCCAACCTCACTCAAACCTGCTTTCTCAAACCCAAAGTCTTTTTCAGTCGAGCGCGACCACATCCCTCATTTCGCCTGCCACCTCTACCTGTACACGAGGTGGGGCAGAGCTTACAAAAGGCTTCTTAAAAGCAGACATGTCTTTCCAAGTGACCCCCCCGCTGTCTCTTTGAGATTTGCGAAGCCAGCCACACACTGAAAACATGTCTTGTCCGCCGAACCAATGCTTCAGCTGGAACAAACGGACGTGAAAACGCATGATCTGTTCCATGCGAGTCTGTCGTCTGAAGAGCCAACTGTGTTGAAGGGACGCTTGCCGACCACTTTGCGGAAGGCAGCGAAAAAGCCATCAACCTTCTGGGTGCCTCCAACCCTTCCTGCTCTTCAAACCCCAGACACGCACCCGCATTCTCTTCGAGAATTCTGGGTGCGGAGGCTTGTGTTTGACACAAGTGTGAGACAAAACGCAAATCACCGTCGTCCAAACACCATCAAGCAAAGGGCTCTTCCAGGTGTTGTTGCCGTCTGTGTGACAGACGGAGCCTAACCCAGCACAGGCTCATCATTTCCTCCAAGGAAAGTGGTCCTCCTCCACCTTGACCTGCCTGAGTGATTCTGTAGCCAAGACGCTGCAGCCACACCAAGCTGGACCCTCGACGCACTGCCGCAATGAAGCTGAACACACAATTCCGTGAGATCTGCCCACAGAACGGAAGGCCACTTCATCAATCACGACATCCATCCCGCACCAACGGTCAAACTGTCGTTCAGCTGCTCGATTAGAGGTGTGAAAAGCTGGTCAAAGGTCTCGAACAAGGAGCGAATGGCCCGACTGTCAACACCAGAACAAGGCTGGCATCATCCGGTGACAGATGCAGTTTAAGTGTGATCCACAGAGCTCCAACAATGGACTTTAAACCCAGACAACGTTCTGGAGCGTAGTGCGACCAGGAACCTCGCTTGCGACCAGGACTCGTCTGTCTGGGCGAGTGTTCGCAGCTCTAGGCTGTGTGAAGACAGGAGGCCTGTCCGAAGGTCCTGCAGAACTCGAGGCAGGTTCTGCAGAAGCTTCGACAGCTTCTGAAGCCTGGACCCCACTTCTTCACCGCTGTCCTCAGCTCTGGCACCAGGATCAAAGGAAAGTCCCTTGAGGTCAGGCAGCATCCGGGACCCTTCACGAAGGGGGCGCTTCAGTTCGCTGAAAGCTTTGAAGCCTTCGAAGGTGAAGGTCGAAGGGGGGCTTCGAAGCCCCTTCGCGCCGAAAGGTCTGAAGCCCTTTCAGCTTCGCAAAAACGAAGGGGGCTTCGAAGGCTTCGAAGGGCAGGACGAAGCCCCTTCGCCTTCGGCTTCGAAGGCTTCGAAGCCCTTCCCCCCTTCGTCCTCCCCTTCAAAGCCTTCGAAGCCCCCTTCGTCCTTGCCCTTCGAAGGCTTCGAAGCCTTTGTTCTTGCCTTCGAAGGCTTGGGTGGGGACGAAGGCTTCGAAGGCTTCGAAGGGTGGGGACGAAGGGGGATTCGAAGGCTTCGAAGGGGGCGGACGAAGGGGGGGGGGCTTCGAAGCCTTCGAAGGGGGCCGTGAAGGCTTTGAAAGATTGGAAGGGGAGGATGAAGGGGCGGAGGCTTCGAAGGGGGCAGATGAAGGGGGGGGGCTTCGAAGCCTTCGAAGGGGGCCGTGAAGGCTCTGAAGCCTTCGAAGGGGAGGATGAAGGGGAGGGGCTTCGAAGGCTTCGAAGGGGGCGGATGAAGGGGGGCAGGCTTCGAAGCCTTCGAAAGGGGAACGCTTTGAAGCCTTCGAAGGGGAGATGGGGGGGAGGCTTCGAAGCCTTCGAAGGGGGCCCCCCCCAACCCGCGGGGGAAACTAAATGAAAAAAAAAATTCAAACTCAAACAAACCGCGATCATGAACACAACAGAAGAAGAAGCCGCGCGAAATCGTTTATGGTGGTTTTTGCGAAGAGAATAAAATGAGAAAAGAAGAGTTGAGGACACAAAACGCAATCAGACACACAAACGCAATCATGAACACAACAGAAGAAGAAGCCACACGAAATCGCTTTATGGGGGGTCTTTGCGAAGAACAAAATGAGAAAAAAAGAGTTAAGGATGCAAAACGCAAGCATACACACACAAAAGAAGAATAATCCACATGAAATCGCTTTTGGTGGTTCTTGCGAAGAAAATAAGCTTTAGGGTGGTTTTTGCGAAGAAAATAAAATGATAAAAAAAGAACTAATGAAACAAAACGCAATCACAAACACAAAAGAAGAAGAAGCCACACGAAATCGCTTTATAATGGCTTTTGCGAAGAAAATAAAATGATAAAAAAAAAAAGTTAATGAAGCAAAACGCAATCAAAGACAAAAAATAGCCACACGAAAAAAAATTCCCCTTCAAGCCAACCCTTCGTCTCCACGCCCTTCCAAAGCTTCAAAGCCTTCGAACCCCTTTCGAAGCCTTCGAAAGCCCCCTCCCTTCATCCTTCCCTTCGAAGGCTTCAAGGCCTTCAAAGCCCCCTTCGAAGGCTTCGAAGCCCCCCCCTCTCCTTCAGCCTCCCTCGAAGGCTTCGAACGTCCCCCCTCGTTTTCCCCTTCGAAGCTTCAAAGCCCCCGCCCCTTCATCCTCCCCTTCGAAGGTTTCAAAGCCTTCACGGCCCCCTTCGAAGGCTTCCAAGCCCCCCCCCCCTCATCTGCCCTCTTCAAAGCCTTCGAAGCCCCCTCATTCTCCCCGTCGAAGGCTTCAAAGCCTAAGGCTTCGAAACCCCCCCTTTATGCGCCCCCTTTCGAAGCCTTCGAAGGCTTCGAAGCCTTCGAAGGTCAGGACGGCTTCTGCGCATCGAAGCCTTCGAAGCCTTCGTCCTCCCCTTCGAAGCCTTCGAAGCCTTCCTCCCTTCGGCGCCTCCGTCCCCCCCCCTTCGACCCTTCAGCTTCGAAGGCTTCATTTTTTTGGAGACAGGAGCTGCGACATACAGACTTGGTCGGCTAAATCGTTCAGCTCGAAGTAGGCACAATCTACCCCCGGATCACTGGCCCTGCTCCCCGTAAGACCTGGGTCGCGCAATGGCCGTCATCAAAATTGCCCGGTTGATGCGCGGAGGCATGGCCACAGAAGATGGTCGAATCGCCCCATGGTGACCTAATCCGAAGACAAAGCACTCCACGGTGTGTGCTGCAAAGAATTGCATGCCCAGCTTCCCTTCAGACGGGGCTCGCAGGCTTCGAAGCCCCCTTCGCCGAAGTCTGCTGCGCAAAACGCCGTAACCACTACAAAGCGTGGCATTTAGCTTGGTCGATTCTGCCGCATTAAACGCTGCGCCCGCCTTTTCTTCTTCACTTTGTTCTCTT